TATTCTGTTACCTATGGACCGTTTATGCTTCCTAGATCAGTTCTTAGAGTATTAATGTTGTCTTTTAATGAGGTGTGTATTTTTATCTCCATACCTTTTTTGGGGTTCTGGATTTTCTTGTTATTTCTTCTTTGTATTCTTGAAATTATTTTTGCATATCCCCTTTCATTTGGTTGGCCAATTCTGTCATCATTTCTTTAATGCTTCTTTTGTCTTCCATCTCTTTTTACTCTCACTGAAATCCTTCCTTGAATTTTTGTTGGCTTTTGGATTTGGATTATATGTCTTATTAATTATTCATGAATCTTGTCATCTTTGGTTGTGATTTATGTATTTGGGTTCAGGGATTGTCAGGGCTGTGTCCTGAGCATGGCTTGTTTGTGTCTGACAGGTGTTGTCCTGTGCTTGGCCCAAGCTAGCTCAAACTATGGTGGACTAGCCCAGGCTGGGTCTGTAGGCCAGTGAATGCTTGTGCACATGCTTGGCCCTGGGCTAGTATTCAGGAACTCACCTGTAGTGGGGCTGGGAAGGTTAGATTCCAGGATGGGTTCTTTGGAAGGGGTGGACTCCCATGCATGTGTAGGCATTTGTCTGTGCTTCAGCCCTGATTTGGTTCTTGGTCCACAGGTGGCTAGTGTTTGGCTGCCAGCGTGTGCGTGCACGCTTTGCTCAGCCCTGAGCCAGGGAGCTCTGCCTGAAGTCAGGCCTGGGTCCCGTTTCTGGCAGTAGTTATGAAGGCTACTTTCAAGCCTCTGAGATGGTTGTGTGTTTCAGAAGGTGTTTGGCCCCTGGTTTCTCTCCCTGCAGGTGGCCACTGCTTGGCGGCTGGATCTGAGCCACGCTTCCTGGCTTGGGACAGGGAGCTCTCCACTGGCAGCTGGGTGGTTGGTTCTGTCTGCGGCCTGGGATGGTGGTGTTTAGGCCTCCAGGATGGGCATGAGTTTTGCAAATGGTGCTGGTGTGCAGGCTTTTGTCAGTGTTGGTTTAAAACAGGCCCAATTTTCCTGCTGATAGCTTGCTGTGAGGACGCAGGGTCTTAGCGTCCTTCCAATATGAGCGCTGGTAGTCTCCCACTGAAAGCCAACAAGTGGGGTGAAGGGAGAGTTAGGAAGATCTCTGGCCTGTTTTTCCTCATCAAGTTTGTTGCCCCTTCTTGGGCAGAATGTAGGAGTCCGGTCCAGGCTGGTCCCTTGTGGGAGGGGACCCCAGCAGGATAGTCACTGATTCTGGAGTTGGCTGTGGGTTCAACAGGCGACGTTGTGATAAATCTTACGTCTGGATGCTACAGTCTTGCTGGTTGGGTCCTGGAGTCCTGGGCAGCAAGGCTACTCTTGTAGCTTTGCTGTGCTGCTGGCATGGGTTGGGGAGTTGGCCAAGAGCTCTCCATGGTTTTTTTTTTTCCCCCCATTCCTGTGATTCTCTATTTGTTTATTTGTTGTTGTCAGTTTTGGAGAGAAGTGCACATTAGGACCCTAAATCTGTTTGACTAGAGAGAGTGATTCCCTATTGTTTCGTTGACATTTTCCTTTTTTATAGCATTTATATTTTCATTAGTTTGGTGTCTTACTTTATGTTTTAAATTTGCTGGTCAAAAGTTTTGTTATAGCTTTATATTGTTCTGAGGTGCTTTTATGGCATACTTTTTTTTCCTTTTACTGAGACTATCCTGATTAAAAACAAGACTACCACTGTGATTTTATATTGTCTTATTTTCCCCTGCATGTTGTTAATTTTTGAGGTTTAATATTTTGATACTATATTATTAGGTGAAAATAATCTTAAATCTTACTAATTTAGCCTTATATTACTGACATTTCTTTTTTGCAAGTCATGTCGATTGCCTTACAAAATCTACTTTTATCCTGTACTCAATATGAAAAAACCAGCTTTGAGTCATAGATCAGTATTAATCTTTATTATATCTTTATCATTAAATTATCTTGCTCTATTTGTGCTCCTAGAGCAAAATACCACAGATTGAGTGATTTATAAAAAAAAAAAAAGTTGAAGTTTCAGAAGAACACAAGTTCAAGAAACAGTTACTAGGTCTGGTGTAGGTTACTCACTACCTTCAAGATGTTGCTTTGATGTTGCAGTCTTCAGAGAGGAAGAACACTATTCTCCATGAAGAAGGATTGAAAGGGCAAGAGGGATGAACACTTTCCAAGTCTCCTTTTTTTCCCCAATACTACTTTTATAATAATAATCCATTCATTAGGACAGGATCCTAATCACTTAATCATTTCTGAAAAAGCCCCACATCTTCATACCACAACAGTTGGGATTAGGTTTCAGTGTGAATCTATATTCACACCATAAGAAACATAATTTATCAGTGTTTACCTAGAGTACATTTGATGTACTTAGTGAAATATATTGGTTTTAAATTTTCATCTAAGTCTTGTTTTTCTTTACATTAAATTTCTTTTTTTTTGGTCTGAGACCAGGACTCAAATTTGGTTCCTCTACCATCTGAGCCACATCTCCAACTCTTTTTTTTCTTTTAGTTTCTCTTTTCTAACAATCTTTGATTGTTGAAGTTTTTAAAATTCTGTTCTTTCTCCTTCCATATGCTAGAAAGTTTTATACTTTCTAATTTGTTTCTACTGAGACAAGATTTCACAGTGTTGCCAGGCTAGCCTCAATACTAACGGCTAACATGCCTGATTTAGTTATTATTTTGTTGTTGTTTTTTTTTTTTTTTTTTGGGTCCGGTCCTGGGGCTTGAACTCTGGGCCTGGGTGCTGTCCCTCAGCTCTTCAGCTCAAGGCTAGCATTCTACCACTTGAGCCATAGCGCCACTTCCGGCTTTTTTCTTTTTGCTTATGTGGTGCTGAGGAATCAAACCCAGGGCCTCATGCGTGCAAGGCAAGCGCTCTACCACTGAGCCACCTTCCCAGCCCTTAGTTATTATTTTGATGGTTACCAAGATTTTTAATTTTGCACATTTCACCTAACAATGCCTAATTTTCAATACCTTGCCGGGACTTTAAAATACTTTAAGAACACTTATCCAATGTCCCATATATATAACATTTCTCTTTTTTCTTCATGTTATTCTATATTTCTCATATTTTTATGAAGTGGAGATTTCATTATGTTTATTCTTCACATTTGTTGTGCACTATTTCTTCCTATGTCTTTGATCTTCAATTTAGGTTCATTTCTTCCTTCTTGAAGAACATCTTTTTAAATTTCCTTTTATAAAGGTTATTAAGACATTTTATTTTTTCATTTCTGAATGTATCTTTATTTCATCTTCATTCTATATGATGTATTTACTGAGGGAGAAGAAATTCTTGGTTGAAACTTCATATATAATATTTTGAAGATATTGTTTGTTTTGACTTTTATTGCTTCTAATGAGAAATCAGATATCAGCTTAAATTCTACCTGTGTGGGTTTTCAGTGATTTAGATCATGATGCCTCCAGGGTAGGTTCTCACCCTTCCTCCCTCCCTCCTTTCCCCTCCCTCCCTCCCTCCCTTCTTTTGTGATGTTGTGTATCATTCTATTTGGAGGGCTTTATGAATGTATGATTTTATGTTTGTTCATTTTGTAACGAATGAAGCCATTATTACACTTTTGATCCTGTACTAGATACTTGTTATACTACAATTTATTTTTCTGTATTTTCTATTGAGTTTTGTAATTCTTTCTGGATTGCTTTGTCTACTGTGTCATTAATTTTTCATTCTTTTAAGCCTGCCTACTGAAAACTTAATTTCATCTCCTCTATATTCCATTTCAGAATTTCCATGTAACTTAAAAAAAAAAGTCCTTCTAAAAATTTTAACCTTTTCTCCTGAATGTTGGGAAATTTTTAAAGTTTTTGTTTTACAAATTCAGTGCATCAAAATCTTCCTTGTATCTTACTGGTTTTCTTTGTGGAAATTGTTCTATACTTTGTACTGATTTTTTTTTATAAGATTGTATAAGTAATTTATGTCGAGGATAGACAAATTTATTTGTACAGATTGAGTGTCCCTTAATTGAAATGCTTAGGATCCAGGAGTTTTGAAATGTTAGCATATACATTATGAGATATTTTGGGGATATGACCCAAGCCTTGTGATGAAATCTAATTTATATGTGTCTAAAACAGCCTAAAGGTTGGTTTATGCCATACTTTTTAACCATTTTATTTATGAATTGAATTCCCCATTAGTAGTGTCATTTCAGTGCTCAAAAAAGTTCAGATTTTGGATTTTTGTTTTGGTCAGTTGTGTGGTTTAACCTCTGGGCCTGAATACTGTCCCTCAGCTCAAGGCTTGTGCTCTACCACTTGAGCCTCAGTGCCATCTCTGGTTTTCTGGTGGTTTATTGGAGATAAGAGTCTTAAGGTACGTTCCTGCCCAGGCAGCCTCCTGAGTAGCTAGGATTACAGGTATGAGCTTCTGGTACCTGGCCAGATTTTGGATTTTTTACGGGTGTTCAATATATACTCAGGAATATGAGTGAACAAACAATATAGAGTATATTATTTTGAACTTTACTGAGTGCATATGAAGGTGAAGGTGATTTGGCAGTAGTGAGGATGATGTCCTATTTATTCATTCTTAATTCATGCTCCATTGGTGGAGTTCTTACAGAATTTTACCCCATGGTAAAGTGTAACTTTGTGCTACCTCCCTCTACTGCCCCTTCCTTGCTTTAATTATTTGTAGGTCTGAATTTGCTGTGCCTAGCCCTTTAGCACTGAAACAACTTAGCCTTTTGTACTACCTCCAGAATCACTTAATGAGTACATTGTGTTTTTCTCCCTGTCTTTATATTCTACCTTGGATCCTGGTTTAGTAGTAGATTTTATTTTTTATTAACTTACTTGTGGATTACCAACTGAATTTTTTACTTCTAAGTGACCATCTTCATTGTATCATGTGGACAAATACTTTGCATTTACAATGTATGAAAACACAATGTTGCTGCCTTAGTGCATTTTTAGTAGTTTCCCTATCTTGATACAAATCTATCATATTTTAAATTTTGTTTACTTAAAAAAGGAAACACAGTCCATATAGAAGTAAAAGAAAACCCTGAGGAGGAGGAGGAAGAAGAGGAAGATGAGGAGGAAGAAGAAGAGAGTGAAGAAGAAGAGGAAGAAGAAGGAGAAAGTGAAGGCAGTGAAGGTGATGAGGAAGATGAAAAGATGTCAGATGAAAAAGATTCAGGAAAGACATTAGATAAAAAGCCAAGTAAAGAAATTAGCTCAGACTCTGAATATGACTCTGATGATGATCGAACTAAAGAAGAAAGGGCTTATGACAAAGCAAAACGGAGAATTGAGGTATTTTTTTTTCCTTTTTTGTTTCTATCTTCCCCACTCTTATCATTAGAGCTGTACTATGACAACTAAAGATTTTTACCAATACTTTACAAAATATATTCTTAAGAATTGTATCTTCTCTAGTTTCAACACTGATCTAACCCAGAGGCTTTCTTCCCTTACCCAAGTCATACTAGAGACTGCATCATTTTCCTTGTTTTGTCCAAATATTAATGTGTTCTTTGGGTGATGGTACAGGTATGTGAAGGTATTCTGAGCATATGCCCTTTAGTTGGTAAGATGTTTGGTGTAAGATATCTACTTGTTTAAATCTGGCACATTGATTAAACTTCTCTTTAACAAGGTATAAATACCTAGTAGGCTTTTTTGTTTTTCCTATTTAATGTAGTAGACTTGAAGCATTTCTTTCATTTTGTTAGCTTAGTATAAATAATATTATAGTTTGCTTGAACTCTAGTTACTGAACTTTTAAAGCTAAAAACTTCTAGCTTTCCATCTTTTCTTTTTTTGGGGGGAGGGGGTCTGGTCGTGGGGCCTGAACTCTGGGCCTGGGAACTGTCCCTCAGCTCAAGGCTAGCACTCTACCACTTGAGCCACAGCGCCACTTCCGGCTTTTTTCTTTTTGCTTATGTGGTGCTGAGGAATTGAACCCAGGGCCTCAGGCATGCAAGGCAAGCGCTCTACCACTGAGCCACCTTCCCAGCCCCTCCATCTTTTCATATTTAATTAATTTTTTGTTGTTGTTTCTTTTTTTTTTTTTGGTCAGTCATGGGGCTTGAACTCTGGGCCTGAGGGCTATCCCTCGCTCTTCAGCTCAAGGCGAGTGCTCTACCACTTGAGCTACAGCGCCACTTCTGGTTTTCTAGGGGTTTATTGGAGATAAGAGTCTCACGGACTTTCCTGCCTGGGCTGGCTTTTTGAACCATGATCCTCAGATCTCAGCCTCCTGAGTAGTTAGGATTACAGGTGTGAGCCACCGGCCCCCCCGCTGTAATTAATTTTTAATAACATCAATAATTTGATTTTTTTCCTTGTCTACATTTTGTATGGGACAAATTGAATTTCTAAACCACTAAATGGGATTGTTCTCCAGAACTACTGATGTTTTGGGTTAAATAATTCTTTTTTTATTGGAGAATGTTAAGCTTCTCAATTCTAAAGTTTATACATTTGACTTCAAGTGTGTCATTTGTCAAAATCTAGACAAAATAGCCTGGTGTAGGTGATTCATGCCTATAATCCTAGCTTCTCAGGAGGCTGAGATCTAAGGATTTTGGATGAAGCCAGCTCTGGCAGGAAAGGCTGAGAGACTCTTATCTCCAACAAACTAATCAGAAAAGGCCAGATGCAGCGCTGTGGCTCAAGTGTTAAGAGTGCTATTCTTGAGCAAAAGAAGCTTCAAGATAGTTCAGGCCTCAGGACCAGCAAAATGAAACAAAATGTAGGCACAATAAATGTATTGTTTTAAATTACCTTCAGGCTATGTAGATAAGACAGCCATGAAATGTAAATGAATTTTATAATTAATTGGTCCCATTTCTAAGATATATCTCATGTATATACAACCCCCCAAATCAGAAATACTTCTTATGTGCATTACTTCATTTCTGAAGTAATTTTTTTTCTTTTATGCCAGCACAGGAGCTTGAACAAAGGGCCTCAAAGCTCTTTCTTGGCTTTTTCACTCAAGGCTGGACCTCTTATCTCTTAAACTATACTTTCACTTTTAAATTCCTACTTATTTCAGATAAGGAATATATTCATATTGGAGAGAGAGAGAGAGAGAGAGAGAGAGTGTGTGTGTGTGTGTGTGTGTGTGTGTGTGTGTGTGTGTGTGTGTTCGTGTTCGTGTTCTGAGGCTTGGCTCAGAACAGGTACAGCTCCACAGCTCCACCAAGTTTTTTGGTGTTAATTGGAAATAGGAAGACAGGGGTCTCATGGACTTTTCATGTCATAGCTAGATTTGAATCCTGATTCTCAGCTGTTCGCCTCCTGAGTAGCTAGCATTACAGCCATGAGCCATGGGAACCTGTCAGTAATTCTTATACACCAGATGAATGTACCAGATAAATGACTTCTGTTCAGTTTGGGAAACTTGTATCAACAAATCTCCAACCAAAGAACATTAAGGATTTATAAGACTTTTATGATGAGTACTATAGTGAGCAGTGTGTACCTATAAATGTTTATGATATTACCCTCTTATTGGTTCAGTATAAACAATAAGAGGTAGAATTTTAGATTCAAAGTTTATACCTTCAAAATATTTTAACACTTCAAGTGTAGAAGAGAAAGGCAGTTTTCAGCCATATTCTATCCTAAGTATTGTATTCAAATATGAGTTGTATATAAAGAAGTGCTGCTTTGTGAACATCATTTGGATCTTACTTTTGACATTACAGAAAGTTGTATTATTTCAATTACAGCATCTAATGGCAAGAAATAAAAGTTTGTTAGTTGAAAACTAGTTTCACAAATGATTTAGTTTTGATGATGCATATCTCATCTGAATATAATATCAGCTTTATTGTATTGAAAGATTGTTGTTTCAAAGAAGTTATGTGATGGCTTCCTTTCTATTTGGTCCTCCAAAAGCAAAAGTTAGGTAAATGTTGCCAAAACAAGCAAATGAAAAATTGAATTGTAGTTCTTTTTTTCTTTTCTTTTCTTTTTTTTTTTTTTTAATTGGTCGTGGGGCTTGAACTCTGGGCTTGGGCGCTGTCCCTGTGCTCTTCAGCTCAAGGCAAGCACTCTACCGCTTGAGCCACAGCACCACTTCTGGTTTTCTAGTGGTTTATTGGAGATAGTGGATATTGGAGTCTCACGGACTTTTCTTCCCGAGCTGACTTTGAACCGTGATCCTCAGATTTCAGCCTCCTGAGTAGCTAGGATTACAGGCATGAGCCACCAGTGCCTGGCTGCATTGTAGTTCTAAGAGAAGCTTTTGTAAATCATAGTGTCCATTGGAGACCTAGTAAATGCCTGGGAAAATAAAAAATGTTGTACTTAGACTAAGGCTTAAACATTCTTTTTACTAGGAAGCTTGTGTGTGCGCACGTGTGCACACACTTGCACAGTTCTGTGGCTTGAACTCAGTGTCGAGGTGCTGTTTCTTAGCTTTTTTGCTCAAGTGGTACTTTACCACTTGAGTCACAGCTATATTTCTAGTTCTTTGGGGGGGGGTTGTATATATATTTTTTATTGTAAAAATACTGTACAGAGGGGTTACAGTTATATGAGTAAGGTAATGAGTACATTCCCTATCGAACATTGTTATCTCCTCCTCCCCCTCCCCCCAAGTTGTAAAGTTTATTTTTAACATAATATCTTGTACATCTCATTGTTACAGTGGGTCAACTTGTATCCTTATTTCAGCATTTTGTTATTTCCCTTCTCTCCCCAAATTAGAAAATATATATACAAGATGCAGGGCACTGGAATCAAATACAGTGTAAACAGGTGTTATACTATGGGGGAAGACATACAAAAGAAACAAATATATATATATATATATATATATATATATATATATATATATAACAGTACATTATAAGTAAATTTTAAAAACAACAGCTAGTTCTTTGTTTTTGCTGGCTAATTGGAGATGAGTCTTATGGCCTTTCCTGCCCTAGCTAGTGAGGAACCACAAGCCTCATATTTTAGTCTCTTGAGTAGCTAGGATTACAGCTGTGAGCCACTAGTGGCTGGCTGGGAGGCTTCTTTAAAATACAAATGTGTACATTGGATAAAAGTGTAAAGTATGTCATTTTAAAAAATGTTTACAGTTGTCACTTTTTTGTATAAGCTGTGACATAAATTAGAAGTTCTACTGTGTAGACAGTATGATGGAAAAAAATCAGTTTCTTTGCTATCTGTTTTATTAAATAGCTTTACACAAAACCTATCAGAAAGTTGGAGGTAGTTCTTTATACCTTGCCTATTTGTACTTAGTGCTCATCTAGAGTCTGTTCTGAACAGATTTTTCCTTTTCAAGAAGTGCTATGATGGGATTATGAAGTTCACACTGTAAAGTTCAGTTTTATGTGTTCACATCACCAAATCACTTGAATGTAGGTTGTGATAATTTTATACCAATGTAAAATATAAAAGTGAGAATTTAAAAGAATATTTACTTAATTTTGTGATTTTTTTTCTTTTTCTTTTTAGAAACGTCGTCTTGAACATAGCAAAAATGTTAATACAGAAAAGCTAAGAGCTCCTATAATTTGTGTGCTTGGTCATGTGGACACAGGGAAGACAAAAATTCTAGATAAGGTAAGTGTATGCGTTGATATAACCTCAAAATAATATATTTTAAAAGTACATTTAAAAGTTTTATAAACATACCCCATTTGGGCAAATTCTGCTTGTGATAAAAATTACTTTTGTACCTTTACAAAATTTATTTTGTATTGGTATGTAGTAGTTGTACAAAAGGGACTTCATTGTATTCTTTTCTATGTCAAAGTAACAATCCAAATTTGCTGTCCTCTCATAGCTCCGTCACACTCATGTCCAGGATGGTGAAGCGGGTGGTATCACACAGCAAATTGGTGCCACTAATGTCCCCCTTGAAGCTATTAATGAACAGACTAAAATGATTAAAAATGTAAGTTACATTATGTCTTGTGTGTTTTAATCTGATGCAGATTAAGATATAAAGTATTTCAAACAGAAAACCTGGAGACTACTATATCAGACTTATCTGCTCAGCATTTACAATGAACATTTGTACTCCTTTGTCCTATTTTGCTTTAAATCTTTCTTAATAAAATGATGTAACTGAAGAGTCCTCATATTCTATTTTCTTCCCTCTTTGTTCCAGAGGCAACTGCTATTCTGAAGTTAATTTTTCCCCTCCATGTTTTACTATGGTTATTGTAGATCTCCGTTTAAAAGTTCCCTTCTCTTTACCATTTTTTTCTTTTCCTTCTGCCTTTGTTTTTTGTTTTTTAATAAGGTACAGATAGGCTATCATTTCATAAGGTACTGACTACATTTTGTTTCCTCTCCATCCCTGCCCACAAATTACATAGGTCATTTTCCATAGAGTGTATATGGGATAACATAATGGCATTTGTTCACCCTTCTTTTCCCTTTCTGTGTTCCCCCCTCTTTGGTTCCCCTAAAAAAAAAAAAGAAAAGAAAAAAACAAAGCAAATTAGACACCACCACCACCACCAATAAAACCCATGTTTCTATTTCCTGGAATTTGTTTTGATAATCTTTTTGTCTTTATCTATTTTTCTACTTGTTTGAAGTTATCCAGTTTTTTTTAACAAGTATAGCAGTAAGCTCAGTGGATCATAGTGCAAATACCCTGGCCCTCCTGATTTCTCTCCTCATGTCAGCACTTTTTTTTAATATACTTTTAAGGTAATCTCTCCCTTTTAATGTATGGAGGGTTACAGAATGTTGATATGTCAATCCTGTCTTCTTCTACCTAATTTTCTGTTGGATTACTTAATTTCGGTGTATATAGCAAAAGTAGAATTAACCTCTGATTCTTTACCTCGTATACTAACTTTTGAAGAATGTACAGTTTGATTTTATTTTTTAATGCATTCATGTATTTAATCATATTTGCTGATTTAATCCATTTCAGTTACTATTGTTACCTTTGCCCCGTGTTTGGGTCCTCTTTTTTTTTTTTTTTTAATCGGTTATGGAGCTTGAACTCGGCCTGGGTGCTGTCCCTGAGCTTTTACACTCAAGGCTAGTACTCTACCACTTTGAGCCACTGCACCACTTTGGTTTTCTGGTGGGTAATTGGAGATAAGAGTTTCATGGAGTTTCCTGCCTGGGCTGGCTTCAAATGGCCATTTTCAGATCTTAGCCTCCTGAGTAGCTAGGAATATAGACATGAGCCACCAGGGCCCAGCTTGGGTCCTCTTTCTTCTTTGATACAGTTCTGGTAGTCCTTATTTTATATTGCATCCATTATATCTGGTATGTCAGAAAGGATGTTCCAGGTTTATCTGTCAAAGAACTCCCCTTTCCTAGAACTGAGTCTTACAAATCTCAGGTTTCATCACCACATTAAGTACAAATGGTAAAATCAAAGAGAGTCTGTATTGTTAAATTCAACCACCTTCTTGTTTTGTCTTATTTCTTGAATGTAGAGATAATCAGTGAGCTTGTCTTTCTCATTTTTCTTTGCTTATATGAGACTAAGTTTGTTTGTTTGTTTTTTAACTGTATTTCTTTGTCTTTTCTTTTTTTTGTACTGGGGATCGAACCCAGGACATTGCACTTGCTAGGCAAGCGCTTTGCCACTAAGCTACATCCCAGCCCGAGACTAAGTTTTATTAGCTCATCTTTCATTAGTTTCATAAGGAGGAAATTAAGGAAATTATATTCCTTGAGTTTTTTGTATTGAATAGTTATATTGGGTCACATGTAAAATCTTCACATTTTCTTTTATACAATATCTTAAAAGTCTATTTTCTTCCAGCTCAGTACTGTTAAGTTGGATTTATAAGTTGATTTTCATCTTATTAAGCAGGTGGTCATTTTGAATGTTGGTCCTGGTTTCTCTGGGTCAGTTTTTCAGTTTTGTATTCTATTGCAATGTATAGTTTTGAGTCTTTATTTTAGAACATACTTTGAATTTCAGTTTTTTTGAATTTACAATATTTGTATATGTGTCTGCTGGTATTGGGGCTTGGTGCTGTTCCTTTGTTTTTTTTATTTCCCTCAAGGATAGTACTTGAGCTACAACTCTTCTTCCAGTTTTTTGTTGGTTAATTGGAGATCATCTCCGAGACTTCCCTGCCCATTGCTGGTTTGAAACCATGATGACCAAATTTCAACTACTATATAGCTAGGATTACAGGTGTGAGACACCAGCAGCCAGCTAAACTTAAAATTTTAAGTTATGTTCAATCTATTAACCAATAACAAAAACTTGAAATATAAAGAACAAGATGTTTATTAGGTCTATCTATATTACAGTTCTTACATAATCTTAACATGTCAGTTTCAGTTACTTATTGCTTATATTCCTGGCAACGAAGTAGAAATAATTATAGTGCTTAATGAGTATTGATTTAAGGCTATTGGAATGCAGATTTAAAATATTTATATTTGAATCATTTTGACAAAAATGAGGTGATAAAATTTGAGAAATTTGAAAGTTAGCAAAAATTGTAGCAAACAGTCAAAATTGTGGGTGACTTTCTTAGTGTAAAGGAGTATGTACAAGTGAGGTCTGTTGTACTGTTTTTATTCATTTACGTGTTTTTGTTCAGAAAAAAAATCAAACATTTAGAATATTTCTTTACAAGAGATTTGAGACATTTTTTATTGCTTAGAATTACTTTACAATTGCACCAGATAAATTTTGTGCCTGCCCTTTTTTTTGGTGGGGGAGGGGTTCAGTTGTGAGGCTTAAACTCAGGGCCTGGCCACTGTCCCTGAGCTCTTTTGCTCAAGGCTAGCACTCTACCACTTTGAGCCACAGCCCCATTTCCAACTTTGTGGACTTTAATTGGAGATAAGAATCTTACTGACTTTCCTGCCTGGACTGGCTTTGAACCATGATCTTAGATCTTGGCCTCTGAGTAGCTAGTGTTACAGTTATAGTGCCTGGTTTGTGTCAGTTTTTTGTTTTTTTTTTTTTAAATAATCTCCAGTGACTGCTCTGTCATTTATATTATACTTCCTAATGATCTGCTCCAGCTTCACTATAGTTACATGACTTTAATGAAAGTGATATTTTCTTATTTCATTTGTTTCAACAAAAATTTCTGTTTAATGAAAATATTAATGTTCTTGTGCCCATTGACTCATGTTGGTTGTTTGTGTCAGTTCTAGAGCTTGAACTCAGGACCTGGGGGCTGTTCCTGAGCTTCTTTTGCTCAAGGTTAGCTCTCTGCCACTGAGTCACAGTTCCATTTCTGTTTTTTTGTTTTTGTTTTTGTTTTTTTTGTAAATTTGAGATAAGAATCTCACAGATTTTCCTGCGTGGGCTGGCTTCAAACTCTGATCCTCAGATCTCAACCTCCTGAGTAACGAGGGTTGCAGGCATTATCCACCAGTGCCTGGCAAACTAATGGTTTTAAAACCATTAGTAGAAATACTTTTAATTACAGATAAATTAATTTAAAATCTTCTCTTGTTTTGACTTCCTTAAGCCATGCATGTTCCTTCACTTTCTAGTTTGACAGAGAAAATGTACGGATTCCAGGAATGCTGATTATTGATACTCCTGGGCATGAATCTTTCAGGTATGAAGAAGTCTTATATCATTGAGAAAATTGAAACTCAGGAATTCTAAATGTTTAGTGAAGTCATTAACTTTTGGGTGATTATAAAAAAAAAAAAGTCCATGGTGTTTGTAACTATAAATTTTCTCTTGGTCATAATTTAATAGTCTTTTACTTGGGTCCTTGTTTTTGTAGAAGAGGAAGTCTATTCTGAAGGAGCAGTAGTTAATGTAGAGCAGAGCAGCTTATAATATATGGTCTCTTGCAGAACTATTGCAAGTAGAATATATATACACATATATATATATTTATATACATTATATACATATGTGTATGTATTTTTTACTTAATTTTTTTTCACAACTGAGGTTTGAACTTAGGACCTCTCACTTGGCTTGCCTTCCTTGCTGAGCTGGTACTCTACAACTTGAGCCATTCCTCCAGCTGGCTTTTTCTAGTTGTTTTGGAGATAGTGTCTTGCAAATATTTCTGTCACAGGGTTGCCTTAGAGCCATGATCCTCTTGATCTCAGCCTCCTGAATAAGTACAGGTAACAGGTATGAGCCACTGATAGGGTGGCACTATTGTCTCTTGGACATATTCCTTAGAATTAAAAACTTCCTTGGCCTGGTTGCTAGTCGCTCATGACTATATGGAGACTGAGGTATGAAGATCAAGGTTTAAAGCACTTACACACAGGACAGTCTCTGTGACTCTTATTTCCAGTAAACTACCCCTCTCAAAAGCCAGAAGTAGAGTTGTGGCTCAAGTGGTAGGGCATTAGCCTTGAGCAAAAGAGGCTCAGTGACAGCACACAGGCCCTGAACTCAGCCCCCAGGGCTGGCACAAAGAAAGGGGGGGGGGGGGACTTGTTCAGTAAAATTGACAGATATATTAGTAAATTTTGGAATTTTGAAACTTAACCCATTAGTTGCCAGTTCTGTGTGTGTATCAATCAGGTGTAAGCAAGGAAAGGCACTTGGACAATATAAGACATACCATAGTTAACTGTGGATCAAAAATAACATAAAAAGATTGTATACCTGCTAAATACCTACAATCATTTTCCTCATTATTCCCTAATCAGTGCATTGTAACTACTAACATGGTATTTACATTGTATCAGATAAGACACATCTGAAATGCTGTGGGTGAGAAGTGTTTCATATTTCTGGGTATTGGCATTAATTTTCTATTTGACCATACCTAATCAGAAAATGTGAACTCTAAAATGTTTTCAAGTCTGAAAACTTGGACATTATGTCAGCAATAAAAATGTTTTTGATTTTGGGCTTTTGGATTGGAATGTGTGATCTGTAAGAAATATTGAGATGAGTTAATGTTTATGGGAGAATATGTGTGCATTACATGCAAATACTACATCATTTTAGATGAGACTGGACTTAATTCCTTCCAGATAACAAGGGATGACTGCTTTCTTTTTTTATGTTGGGCTTGGAATGTATGTTAAGTTTAACAAAAATATTCAAAAATTTTCTATTTATCTTTTTCCTCTTTACAACAGTAATTTGAGAAACAGAGGAAGCTCTCTTTGTGATATTGCCATTTTAGTTGTTGACATTATGCATGGTTTGGAGCCTCAGACAATTGAATCTATCAACCTTCTCAAATCTAAAAAATGTCCATTCATTGTTGCTCTAAATAAGGTAAGTTCTCTTTATGGAAAAAATATTTTTGGTTTTTAGTAGGGTTTGAACTCAGATCCACACTCTTGCTAGCAGGCATTCTACTACTTTAGACACATCCCCATCCCTTTTTGCTTTAATTGGTGAATAAGCATATATGTGTTTGTTTGTGTTTCTGGGGCTTGGACCCAGGATCTGAGCACTGTTCCTGAACTATTTTGCTCAAGTGCTAGTGCTCTACCACTTCAACCAAGCTCCACTTCCAGCTTTTGGTGGTTCATTGGAAATAAGAGTATTAGACTTTCCTACCTAGGCTGGTTTTGAACCACAATCCTCAAATCTCAGCCTCTTTAGTAGATAGGCTTATAGGGGTTGAGCCACCAGAGTCCAACTTGTATCTATCCATCCACCCTTCCTATCCATTTAGAATAGAGTCTTACACTGATGGCCAGGTTGGCCTAGACCACAATTTTCCTCATCCTGCATAGTTGGGATGGTAGGTGTAGCATATCCTTTTTTTTTTTTTTAATCTGTTCAGATAGGGATCTTAGGAATGTTTTGCGTAGAGTAACTTCAGCCATCATCCTTCTAGTCTTAGCCCAGTAGCTAAGGATTACAGTTATAAATGACCGTACAAACTGCTTATAAGAATTTTAATTAGGCAAATGCTTCTTAATATTTTTTGTGTTTAAGGAATGTAGTATACCTGCATGCTTTTGTTTACTATGGTACTGTAGAATCAGTCTAGGTGACTATCAAAGGATAAAGAAAATGTGACACAATAAAATACAGAATCTAGGTTAAAGAAAAGAAGACAGTAAAGTAGGGACTGTTTAGAAATTGAAAAGGGGACCAATCAAAAAAAAAGATAGGGCAAAAGTGGGTAATGAAGGGCTGGGAAGGTGGCTCAGTGGTAGAGCGCTTGCCTTGCATGCTCGAGCCCCTGGGTTCGATTCCTCAGCACCACATAAGCAAAAGAAAAAAGCCGGAAGTGGCGCTGTGGCTCAAGTGGTAGAGTGCTAGCCTTGAGCTGAAGAGCTGAGGGGCAGCGCCCAGGCCCAGAGTTCAGGCCCCACTACCGGACCCCCCAAAAAAAAAAAAAAAAAAAGTGGGTAATGAAGGGATGAATGTGGTAAAAGTACGTTGTATATATTGTGTGAAGAACATTATATACATGTGTGAAAATATCACAATGACATCCAGTTAACATATACTGATAAGAATATTTTAAGAATAAAAATGTATAACATGAGAAAATGCACTCCATGTACTATTTTGACAAATTTATACATCCACATAATCATTGCAATTCAGAATATGTAACACTTCTATTCCCAGAAACTTCTTCCCTGATGCTTCTTAGTAGTTGGGCTGCTGCCCAAAGTACTGGTCAACACTTGACCTTTGTGGCACTTGACTTGTTTTACTTATTTTGAATTTCATGTAAGTTGTCGGTGGTTGTAATTGTTAACCTTGCTTTTTGTTACTCCTGTTACTATAGTTTGACTTCCATTGTATAAATCATAAATTATTCCTTTTAGTTGCTGAGTGATATTTTATTATCTGGATGATCCGTACTTTATGCATTTATTGTTGAAGGATATTTAGCTTGAGTGTAATATATAGATTACTTATTAGCAAAATGACTGTCTTTTTTTTTTTTTTGGCAAGTCCTGGGCTTGAACTCGTGGCCTACACACTGTCCCTGACCATCGTTTTGCTTGCAGGCTAGCCCTCTACCACTTAAGCCACAGCTCCACTTCCAGTGTTTTTTGGGTGCTTAATTGGAAAAGCGAGTCTTTTAGACTCTGCCTGGGCTGGCTTCAAACCTCAATCCTCAGATCTCAGCCTCCTAAGTAGCTAGGATCACATACTTGAACCACTGACATGGCGCACATTTTTTCATTTTACCATTGTTGATGAGTTCTTGTTTCTGTACATCCTAGTTGTACACTATTACCTTTAACATTCTCCCATTCCCTCTTTCTGTTGTTGTTGTTGTAGGGCTTGAACTCAGGCCTGGGTGCTGTCCCTGAGTCCACAGCTTTGAGCTATAGCTTTTGGCACAACAAAATATCTGAGCAATTTACATTATGAAATTTTTAGATCTTAAATTTATGGCGATGTTTCTTATGTAAAATTAATTTTCAGATTGATAGATTGTATGATTGGAAAAAGAGTCCTGACTCTGATGTGGCTGCTACATTAAAGAAGCAGAAAAAAAATACAAAAGATGAATTTGAGGAGCGTGCAAAGGCCATTATTGTAGAATTTGCACAACAGGTAAGAAAAAATTCCCTCTCAGCCCTCCTTTCTCCTTTGGTACCAGAGGTTCAACTCAGGAGGACCTACCACATTCAAGGCAAGCACTCTTGACATTAAAATCTCTAGCCCTTTTTATTTTTTAAATTTTTAAATTTTTTTTATTCTGTATTGACTTTATTTTACTCAGTTGCTCAGGCTGGAACCCAAACTTGTGGTCCTCCTGTTTCTATTTCTCTAGTAGGTGGAATAGATAGGCTTCAAACTATCACACTTAGCTTGGCTTTCGTTGTTTATGAAGCCTATCTCACATTGCTGATTTCTTTTAATATGTTACCTTTTTAATGAAATTGCCATTTTCATTAATGCTATTCTGTTTCCCTGTTTTTCATTTACTTATTTAATATATTTTGACTTTCAGTTTTTGTTTTGTTGTTTTTTGGGGGGGGAAGTGGGAGGGTTGATATAGTTTCTCACTATTTTGCCCAAACTCCTCTTGAGTTCCTCCTACTTCTGTCTCCTAGGTAATTGGAATTCTAGGTTTATGGTCAGTTCTCATAGATTTTTCTTTGTACTCTTAATCTTTGAAAAAAACTAAGTTGACTTAGAAAGTTTTTCTATAATGTTTCTGTGACCATTTGGAGTTATTAATCAAGTGCTTGATTTCATTGAGCTATGCTGTACCCCCTCATCCAACCCACTGAAGTATTATATGGAGTTTCACAATGGTTAACTATTAGCTCATTTTACTCAGTCCTGTTCTTAGATACCTTCTTTCATAGCTTGGTGTTTTGGAATAACTTTTGCTTACAGGGTTTGAATGCTGCTTTGTTTTATGAGAATAAAGATCCTCGCACTTTTGTGTCTTTGGTACCTACCTCTGCACATACTGGTGATGGCATGGGAAGTCTGATCTACCTTCTTGTCGAATTAACTCAGACCATGTTGAGCAAGAGACTTGCCCACTGCGAAGAGTTGAGAGCACAGGTGATGGAGGTAATCATCATGTTTTTAGTTTATTGTTCCTGAGCTGCTCTTTAATGGTTCATTCCTTAGGTGTATAGGATGAGTGGTTTTTTTAGATTTAATGTATATGATTCACTATGTGTTATTCCCTTTGCAATAATGTCTGTTAGGTTAAAGCTCTCCCAGGAATGGGCACCACTATAGATGTCATATTGATCAACGGGCGTTTGAAGGAAGGAGATACAATCATTGTTCCTGGTGTGGAAGGGCCTATTGTCACTCAGATTCGAGGTCTACTGCTACCTCCTCCTATGAAGGAATTAAGAGTAAAGGTAAGCCTTGGAGGATAGGGTTGACACACAGGACTTGTATAGTATTTAGAAATTCTGCTGAGGTTGCTCCCCTTAACTTTGAGCGTTGTTTGGCTTAATACACAGTATTGTTTTACCATGTAAGTCATAGAGGAGAGACATCCTCTATGAGGAAATGGGTGAATGTACCTGTTTACTACTAGACTAGGGTTTTCTTAAATTGTTTTGACTCTATACTCTTACCTAGTTTTTCACTAACAGTTGTTTGGTGAGAGAAAACATTAGCATGGAAAAGTACATGAGATTTTAACAATTTTTCAGGGAGCAACTAGATCAACAATCAGAATATTGCTGGCACCTGGAAACCTCCTGCATGCTTCTTCTTGCTTGTACTTCCTCAGTTCTCTAAAAAAGTTAACCAAGGGTACTTTTTTTTTTTTTAATATAACAACTAATATCCTTGCTATCCTTTCTAGTTTCGGTAATGGAATGTGTATGAACTTTGCATGGAGTTTTTAAAATTTTGTACCTTTTATCTGGCTTCAGTTGAAAAATAATTATGATTGATAGTTTGTGTGAATGTATTATGTTATCCTTTCTCCCATTGGTGGGAGCCATGTTCTCACTAGAAGACCATGGCTGTTTACGTCTGCTCTGAATCTTGTGCAGTTGTGTGTCCCAGGGTGGACTCAGATAGATTACTGAGTTGCTATGGACACACAGCTCACCATGATGTGCCTAGTAACAAGTTGCACTTTCAATTACAGTTTTTCAGTTTTATATCTTTATAGTTCTTTGATGCCTTTAGTTTTTTAAGCTGTCATTCTAGTGTCTGCAGCTCATTGCTATTTCAGCTTGCAATTACCTAATTGTTTCCATGGAATTGCTTTATTTATTTCCTCCTTTATGAAACACTCAGTTTTCTTTCCTCTCACATTGTCTTTTTTTTACAGATTTTGTAGGACTTGATATATTGTATCTCTACATTTTGTTTTATTGCCTTGTCTTAGTTTGTGATTATTATTATTATTTTTTGTTGGTTGTGGGGCTTGAACTCTGGGCTTGGGCTCTGTTCCTCAGCTCTTCAGCTCAAGGCAAGTGCTCTACCGCTTGAGCCACAGTGCCACTTCCTTTGCTCTGATATTTTAAAGAAATACTTGCATGTTGAATCTCTCAGTCTTTGATCATTATTGCTGTTTGTGCCTAGTTTATGAAATCTTTTCAAATTCCAAGATTACAAGTTATCTTCACATATATCATCTCCTGATGCTACCAATTTTCAGATAAATGTCTAGGAAAATGTTTTTGTTTACATAGAACCAGTATGAAAAGCATAAAGAAGTAGAAGCAGCTCAGGGGGTGAAGATTCTTGGAAAAGACCTGGAAAAAACACTGGCTGGTTTACCTCTCCTGGTGGCTTATAAAGAAGATGAAATCCCTGTGCTCAAAGTAAGCCCATTAATTTTGTTAATTTTCCCCTCCATTGCTATTTAAAGCTTTGTCTCTTGAAGGGTTTTTGTTTTGATCTTTTTTTTTTAATTAGGTCTTTCCTAAATCTCCCGTGCTGCCTTAAACTCAGTGATTCTCCTACCTATTTTGAGTTTGATTGTCTTAGGGGTACTGACTAAAATGAGCATCCTTGTGGAATCTCTTGTCTGTTGGCTTTTTATAGAAAACTTAATCCATTCAAATTACTTTATAAAGGCAAATAATAATTACAATAGAATTTCAAATATGCATTTTATTGAAATAAAAAAAATGAGTCAGAAGCTAGAAGTTGGTTGGGTGCCAGTGGTTCATACTGGTAATCGTACTCAATAGACTGAAATCTGAGTATTATGTCAAAACCAACCCAGGCAGGAAAGATCATGAGACTTTCTGTCAAGTTAACCATCAAAAAACCAGAAGTGGTCCTATGACTCAAGTGGCAGAGCACTAGCCTTGAGTGAAAAAGCTAAGGAACTGTACCCAAGCCAATTACCAGCAACCCTCCCACCCCCCATAAAAAGAACTAGTTATTTTATTCTGTCTACCCATCTGTTTTATTTCTGAGTGGAACAGAGGTTGAACATATTTTAGTCGGTCAACCCAAGGCAAACTGGAAAATGGCATAGTGTTATGCGGTAGCGACTGTATCTCTTCCTCCTCTTTTCTGGCACAGGCTGTTTTAACTTGTTATAAGCTTTACTTTCATAATTGCAGATGCGTGCTTAACCAAGATGAGAGATGGTTAAATTCTAGACTGCCAAAAATAGCAATAGATGTGCTGATAATCTTTTCAAATTTTCAATTTGTTAAGGATGAACTGATTCATGAGCTAAAGCAGACACTAAATGCTATCAAATTGGAAGAAAAAGGAGTGTATGTCCAAGCATCTACACTAGGCTCTTTAGAAGCTCTACTTGAATTTCTGAAGACATCAGAAGTACCCGTAAGTAATCATATCCAGCTATACAAATAAGTGACAGTCATGTTTCCATTACTTTGTGCACTCATATAAAATATTTTTTACAGTATGCAGGAATTAACATTGGCCCAGTCCATAAAAAAGACGTTATGAAGGCTTCAGTAATGTTGGAACACGATCCTCAGTAAGTAAAATTATTTTTCTGAAACTTATTGAGTGTCCTTTGTGCCATACTATTTTTTCATTGATGGTCTTTGATATGCTTCAACCTTTCAGGTATGCAGTAATTTTGGCCTTTGATGTAAGAATCGAACGGGATGCACAAGAAATGGCTGATAGTTTAGGAGTTAGAATTTTTAGTGCAGAAATTATTTATCATTTATTTGATGCCTTTACAAAATATAGACAAGACTACAAGAAACAAAAACAAGAAGAATTTAAGTAAGTTGATGTTTACTTTATGTCTTTGTTAATGTAGTTAATTGAGAATTACTAAATATTGGAAGAAGTATGTTTAACAAAAGCCTAGCATTTGCTCATCTATCAGAGACTGTATCCTGAAAAGTGACATATTACGTAAACCACAAATCCTTCACTATGGAACATTCTGGTGGCATGTGAACAACCCCTTACTGTGGCCTTTCAGATGATTAAATTTCAGTTTGGCAGCCTTACTTGTCAGTAGCGTAGTAGTTGCTAAATCATGCATGTATCTTACTGAAATTGCTTTACTAGGAATTGCATGGAGTGGAATTTGCAAAATTAGAATGTGAATATTGAGAAATAATCCCAGGGATTCTGTGGGAAATGTACTTCCCCACACTTTCCAAATGCTCATATGCCAACACTACTGCAGGTGCTGGAGACGTCTGCAGGGCCTCAGCTGCTCTTGGGTCCCAGGGACTGCCTATCATTGGGAAATACAACAGTGAAGTGTGTGAAAAGTAGAGATGTAATTAAAGCAGGGAAAGGCTAGGTAAGAAGAGAAGTGGCTGGTTAATAATGTGGTTGGGGAAGGCATCCGTTTAGGGCTCATTGGAAGTAGCAATCTGAAGACTAAGTATAGCACTCAGGTATGTGGGGAGTTTCTAGGCAAAAGAGCATCTGAGCCAGCATTTCATACAAAGGGAACAGCAGCCACCCTAGCTGAAGTAGAGTTTGCAGGGACTATGGAGTCACAAGTTGGCAGGACCCTTGTGTTATGATTTAACTTTTCATTTGTGGAAGTTGCCTGTTGCCAAAATTACATGATCATGTGTAGATGTGGTGACCATTGCCTCTCAGGAGACTCCCATAGTCTAAGCCCGGCAAGCCACATATAGAATGAGCTCAGTTTAGAGTACAGTTTTAAAAGAGTTAATGGGTATTAAGTATTATGCCATGAATTAGTATGTATTCATTTTAGATTGTGAAACCTGGGGTGAGAAGACTAAGAACTGTTAGAAACCATTATCCACTATTAACCACTTCTGGCATTTGCTTAACAAGCAGGGAAATTAATATCTAGTAGCCTTTTGTACCAGTAACTTACTAATACAACAGGGAGAAGTGTAAGGATGCTTTGTTGTTCGCAAAATGCAGATTGTTACATTATTACGTGACAGTCCTGTCAGCAGGTACTGCCTGGGTTCTAGACCCTAAGGTGTGGCTGGAAGTATGTTGTCTTCAAAGTCAAGCTCCATCTTTTAATTTAGGCACAAGATGCTCTTGTGATACAGCTTTAGACTACACTGAGGATTTAAGAGAAGAAAGTGAAGGCTTGGAAAGCAATAGAAAGAGAAGAAAGAAAATGAAGGAAAATGAGCGAGCTATAGAGCCCACCCCTAGTCATTGGGCTGAAAGGGGCTTCTCTCCTCACCCTCCATTAGGAAAGGTGCTTTCATCCACTAGAAGAAACCTCATTTGTGTGTGTGCATTTCATTTTTATGGTTAAATGATTTTAAAACTTACTTCTTTGTCCTTTCAGGCACATAGCAGTATTTCCCTGCAAGATGAAAATCCTCCCTCAGTATATTTTCAATTCTCGAGACCCAATAGTGATGGGGGTGACTGTAGAAGCTGGCCAGGTGAAACAAGGGACACCTATGTGTGTTCCGAGCAGAAATGTAAGTTCAGTGGTACTTACAGAGATCTTTCCAGACTTTAAGCATACATACTGTTTTCTTTCTGTAAGTTGTACCTCAGTATAGCAAAGTATTTTTCCCTGGTGTAGCTTCACATCACATGATTTCAGGCTTTCTTTCCCTTAGAACATCATACCTCTGACATGACTTTAGCATTAAACTGCATTGGCAGTCCTCTTTGGTATACCATTCAGTGGCCTGGACTGATTCTCTAAGCACATTGTTTCAGTCTCAGTTAAGAACAGTCTCCTTTCTCCTTGAAAAATTCACCCACAGTATATTGCTTTTGTGATAATAAGTTTGGATTCAGTCTTGTGTTTGCTAAGCTAGTACTCTGCCACCTGAGCTGTACCCTCAGTCCACCCACTTATTTTTCCAATTTATTCTTCCATTTAAACTTGCCTGTTCTCTCCTTCCTCGCTAGATCCAGGTTAGAATTTATGAGAAGGAACCTACAAGGGGACTCTCTGCGTCCTCTGTCACATAAGATGTCTCAGTGTTGGGATGAAAAGGCTGAAAGACAAAACTTTGCTTCTGGTACTGTTTGAGATGGTCTCACTATGCATCTTTATATTCTATAAACTCATTTTCTTGCCTATACCTGGAATTACAGACGTGCACTGCCATACCTAGCTATCAGCAACTTGATTGTGTGTATGTGAGCACCAAAGGTTGAACTTAAGACTTTACACTCTCATTGGGTTTACTTGCTCATAGCTGGTGTTAACACTAGAACCACACCACCAACGGGTCTCATGGACTTCTCTGCCTGGGCTGGCTTTGTATCTTAATTTCTCAGGTCTCAGCCTGCTGATAGCTAAGATTATGTGAGCCACCATCACCCAATTTTTACTCCAGTTGCTCTAAGGCCCTATTGGGTCTTTGCTGGAGTCAGTTTTATATAATTATTTACAAAATTATGATATCCTCCTACCCACAGACCTTTTAAATGAAGTACCCTCCAGCTGTTTAAGTAATTTTGTGCCTTTAAATTTCCTGATACTCTGCTTATCCAGTTTGGCCATGGCAAATTACTCATGCTGGTATTTATGGCCTTTCTGTTTTTGGGTTGGTGACATGCTTCCAGGTTCATCCAATATTTCTCCTGCCCTGAACTTTGGGAACTTATCTCGGTGTATGGAGCATTTTATAGCCTTTGTCTCACCCAATCCTGTTTTTACTCTTAGCTCTCTTTCTGTAGGACAGCCTGCCTCTATTCCCGAGTCACTTGTTCACAAGTTACCTTTAAACTGCAGAATGTTTCTTTGGCTGTCTTTCTGACTACACTACCCCCTTTTCTAGCTCTTGTAGAACTAAAACTTAGTGCCTGTTATTATCTCCTAACCTGGCACCTGTCCTGCAGGAAGGTAGGACAGAAACAGAATATGACCATGTTGATAAGTGTACACCAAGATTCACACAGCACATACGATCTTGCTTTTAACAGCTATGTTATGGAGGGCAAATGTAGTGTTGTAGAGAAAATTCTTCTGTGGAGGCCTTCGTGATGATAGCAGGATCATATTCCAAGTCTCTAATGTGGGCACTTTTGTTTTAGTTCTTATTTCAGTGGTCTTGGGCTTATGGAAGGCAAGAATTCCTCTGCATATATTGTACTTTTTTTGTCCTACAGTTTGTTGACATTGGAATAGTAACAAGTATTGAAATAAATCATAAACAAGTGGATGTTGCAAAAAAAGGACAAGAAGTCTGTGTCAAAATAGAACCTATCCCTGGTGAATCTCCCAAAATGTTTGGGAGACATTTTGAAGCTACAGATATTCTCGTCAGCAAGGTGAGTAATCAAAGTGGCACATTTTCAACAGAGTGGTTTTTATCTGTTTGCATCAGTAGCTTTTGAGGGTTACAGTCAGAACTTGGAGAATCTGGTGGAGCTAGGGCTATCTATGGAGTAGAACACTTTGGACAAGGCCAGGGTATAAGCTTCTAAAACATGATGTGGGTTCTGTTATCTTAGATGGGCAAGCACTGCCCTTCTTCAATTATAGACCTTCAATTATAATGCCTAATTTAAGGACCACAAGCTGTTTTGGGCACTAGGTTGTTAAAATTCTATTCACCCTGTTTGTGCCTCGGGCATTACAGATCAGCCGGCAATCCATTGATGCACTCAAAGACTGGTTCAGAGATGAAATGCAGAAGAGTGACTGGCAGCTTATTGTGGAGCTGAAGAAAGTATTTGAAATCATCTAATTTTTCCACATGGGACAGGAATTGGAGTAAATTCAATATTATGTTGTATTATCACCAACAAGCCAAGAAAACAAAAAGGAACATAAGTATCTGGACACTGATGAACTTAGGTGTATAAAATGTTTTCCATGAGAAACCAAGAAACTTACACTGGTTTGACAGTGGTCAGTTAATGCGTCCCCACAGTTCCAGCGTGCCTGTTCACTCATCCCTTGCCCTAACCTTCCCTACTTGGCTGCTGTTTTGAAGTTTGCCCTTCCCCAAATTGGGATTTTTACTACAAATCTAAAAGCTCTTTCAATTTTATACTGATTAAATCAGTCCTGCAGTATTTGATTAACCAAGCTTCTGCAGATTTTGTGATTCTTGGGACTTCTTTGACGTAACAAACACGTCTTTATGCATATTCCCAGTGATTTTTTCAGCATTCTTCTGCCATATGCCCTTAGCGATTTTTTAAAAATAGCAAATAAGACATTCTGGTATTTCTTTATCTGCTTTGTGTGAAACCATGGTGTAAAACATAGCTGGCTGCTTTTTATTGCTTGTGTAGTCTTGAGAGTTGGTTGTAATCCAATTCCAAAAACCCAATAAAGAAAACAGTCATTGCAATAACAGTAAGCTCTGTTAGGCTTCCATGTTAGTATAGCTTATTGGCCTCAAAACAGCTCAGTGTTCTCAGGATGAGGATTTTATCAATCATCATACTTCTCTTCTGTGTGATGAGCGTGTGTGTGTTAGAACCATAGATTGTACTCAGGGCTTCAAGCTCTCACTTGGCTTGCTTATTACTTGAGCCATGCCTCTAGTTTGGCACTGTTAGTTAATTGCAGTCAGAATCTTGAATTTTTTTTTTTCATCTGGGCTGACTTCAAACCTCAGATCTTTAGATGCCAGTTTCCTGAACACCTAGGATTACAGGTTTGAGCCAATGGTACCTGACCTAAAGGATCTTGATTGGTTTTATCCTAGAAAATCCCATCCATTTAGAAGTTTTCACAGCTGTTTCAGTTATTTTGAAGCTTGTATTGCTGCCCTGAGAAGGGGTCCACACTCCTTTTACTAGGAAACCTGTTGGATAGACCTAGAGATAGCTGCAGTCACTGTGTATTGTTTGAGGAAAGTGATTTTAATTATTCACTAACATAGAATTCTAAGTTTTAATGATAAATAATGATAAATTAATCTGTGTTATGGGAAAATAACCTAATAGGTTCAAGAGATAGTCTCTATTTTCCCAGGAAAACCATGAAAGAAGGAAACAGCATTTAGAAGCTTTACCCTTTATTCCAACAAGTAGATTCTTGTTACAGGACCTCAGCAATTTCAAAGCTTAGCACAAGAACCTGTAATGGCTGGAAAAAAACTTCCACATAGGGCATTTAAAGCATAAGGATTCACAAAAGGAGCCTGTACAAAATATACATACAGTTTTTTATTAAACAACTGTAAACACTTCACTGTAAAAATCCATAAAACTTTATAAACAAACATTTTGTAAATAGAATCTATGCTACAGTAAAAGAATTAACATAATTATTTACATGCAATACTGACAATTTTGGCACTTTTTTGAAAGAAAATGTACAAAAACACTTGCTGAAAAAGAAACTTTAAAAAAATGAGCATTACTATCATGCACTTTGCAAATACCTCACAAGCACTTATGGCACAGCTAGCAGAGGGCACCAGGCTCCCTGGTAATATTTATGTAACTTTTAATGTGCTTCCATAAGTTTGTTGTAAAACCACCTGAACATTGTCAAGAATAAAGTCAAATGCCATATTCCAAACTGATTCAACCGATTGCTGCATCAACCTGCAGGTGGGAAAAGGAAACATCATCATTAGGAAACATTTCTCCTTCAAGGAGTGTGCTAAAAACTAACAATTTCCTATGCTTTAATTCTGTTACAAATCTCAGAAAACCAACACTATAGCATTTTTTCCCCTTTTCATGAAAATCCTGATAATACCTTTTCATGTATTTTATAACTAAATCCAACTTTTCCAAATCTTTTTCCTCAATAAGGTCAGTACAGTATTTTACAACTTGCAGAATGTCTTCTTCCATTGGATCTATGGAGGGAAAAAAAAATCCTCATGAAACCTTGCAAAGGAAATCTTGGAACTTAATTCACTATTAAGAAAATGGGTCAGATCTGTGTTGTCAAAAATCACAGACCCACTACATTGGCCACTTGACACAGCCTAAGCCAACCTGAGATTGTCGTTATCCATTCTTTGAGCAAGGTCTTCACATCATTGAATTCAACAGCTCCAGCTAAATTAGGTGCTACATGTCTAACACAGCTGGATTGATCAGGCTGCAAGCTATAAAGGCCTGGCACACCGGAAGTGGAAGCAGAGAGTTCTTCCTGTTAAGAAAAAGGATACAAGTGGTACATTTGTGCAGTATCAAGTACATTAAGCTCTGGTAAAGGTCAGAAGTATTTAGGTTACCATAGGTTTCTCAGCAGCAGGTCCTTCGTGTTTGAGGAATCCATCTATTAACTTCTGGGGGCTCCCATAGGCCCCGGGTAGAATTTTTGCAGGGCTGATAAGTAGCTTGGCTTTCAAAGGACTCTGAATCTTTTGGGGGGAACTGATGGGTTTTTTTTTCTTCTTTTTCTTGTCTTTCACGGCTGCTGGTTTTAGTTGAAGTAAAGGATTCTTTGGCACTAAATGAAGAGGGAATATAAGATCCTTAATACTAAATGTGCCATTAATTATTTCCTCCTTCCCATCAAAACACTCAAAGCCTATCAACTCCACCTCACCATCACCAAAGGTATCACCATGAGAAGCCAGGCAAAGGACTCAAAATACTATACTACCCAACTTTTTAAGAACTGAGGACTGAATTCAGTACCCACCCTTGCTAAGTAGGCACTTTACCAGTTGAACAATGCCACTGAGCCTGTGGCCTTGGTCATTTGGAGGTAATGTCTCCCTTCACGCCTGTATGGAGTACATAACTTCTGCTTGTGTTGGCCTTGAACCATAAACACCAGATATCTACATTCCCAGTAGCTATGGTTAAACTTGAGCACAACTGCACCTGGCTCAACCATTCTTTAAATTTAAATGTAGGTTTAGGTGTTTGTGGTTCATGTCCAGAACTTTAGATTTTGTTTTGTAGTGCTTGGTACATATACTACATATATACACTATGGAAGTGCTCTGCTATGCCCAAGCTCCAGATTTTATGTTCATTTGTGTTCCTAGATTCAAGTAACTGTCTCAATTGTGTAACAGTCTCAATTGCTTTAACTGTATTAAAACTTAGGTACTAAATCCAGCCAGTACTAAGCAACACAAATACCAGCTGTGCTCTTTCTTTGCTGTTCAGATACTCTCCAAGATTAGCTTTTAGTAACACCTACACAACTGTGATACCATCACCTTTTTTGCCAGCTTGCCACTTCCTGAGCTTACCAGATGTACTGGCTGAATGCTGGTGAGAGGTGGCTTCTCCCTGCCTTTGTCTTTGATCATAAGCTGCTTTTAGCTCCTTTTGAAGCTCAGCAGGAAGAGCAGCAAACACCTCAGGGTCCACCTAGTGAGAATGGAAGGCCAAAGTCAAACCTGGGTTAATGTTAGATGACAGCTAGTTTCTATTTTTCCCAAAGTAGATTTTGTTTTCAAACCACACTTTTCTGATCTGTATAGACTTATAATGAACTTTGATAATTAGGGACTTTAAAACATTTAGAGAATAAGGAATTAGTATAACAGTCACTACAGAGAAATTCTTTAGAGCTAAGCTGTAGTAAAACCAAGTAGGAACTACCTCCTGTATTTGAATGCATCGCCATTCTGTTGTAAGCACAGTGATGAGTGGGCAGATGTGTATGCATATATACTCCTTACCCATCATCCCCTTTCTCTTCTAGTGCTAAATTCAGTTGGTGGCTTATGAATGAAGCTTTCTAATCAGTATTTGTCATGCAGATGAAGTGGAAAAGAGCCATCAACATCCCCTGCCCGTCCTACACACACAACACACTACCTCTTATGAGCTAGTCAGTAGTAAGAGTACATTGACAGAAGGTTACAATGTTATTAACTTACCTGTGAAAATGCTGGGAGGGCAATAACATTTATTCCTGTATCACTAATAGATTCTTGAGGCATTTGCAACAAAACTGTCCCAATTGGTTGAGGCACAATTCCTGTATTACAGCCATTTACTGGTTCTTTCTTTTTGTCACCGTGTGGTTCTCCTTGAATAGCACAAACTTGTTTAATTTGTTCTCGAAGATCAGGAGGAAGTGCTTCTAAAACAGATTCATCAAGCTATAAAATACCAAGCATGGATTTGAAGGTAAGTCTATTGAGAGAAAAAACACAAGACAGACTACCTACCATCCCCTCCCCAGTCAACATGTTTGAAACATTTTGCCTTTTACCACTGAAGCCTGAGGTAATAAGGAGTCTGGAGGTAAGTGTACACCATGGGTCAATTCCACAGCGTTAGGTAAATCCACAAAGTTGGAAGCTAACTTTATATGTATAGCAGAATCCTCTCTTTGCTTGGCTGGGTTCTCCCTCTGCCTATCTGAGCAAATCTGGCCATTTGAAAACAATTGATCCATGAACTAAATAGCCATTCTTACCTTTCCAGACTGTCACTAATGACTGGAATCCAAAGCAAGAATTAGCCCTTTCCCTATAATAAGCATTTTTACCATGTCCTTAAAGGCCTCCTTCCACAAACTACCCACAGAGATTAAGAAATGGTGTCTTACTTCCAAGGAGCTAAGGATGGCAATGTGTAAGATTTTTTGCAGAATCCATAAGAATAATGCTTGTTCTAAGTTTCACTAACTTGACATGAGGTTTCTGTACAGATCACCAGAGCTACTGTGTTGAATCGGGGCCTACGTGATTACTGACAGGATGACAGTGGGAAAGGACTACCTTTAGCTATGCCTTCACAACTTTTTAAGACTTGAAAGTCTCTGCAAAAATAACTCAGCAATGAGTGTACTCTTAAGTGCCATCTTTAGACCAGTTCTGTCATTAGGACTAAAAAAATATACCTGGGAAGGGGATGGGATCTCTATACTTAGATTAAGTCTTGATTGTACACTGATAGGAGAATGCAGACCATTCCATTTCCTTGTAGACTCAACTTTGTTATTGTCAGCACTAACGTTAGTTGTCAGATGTGTAGAAAAAGATGGTAAGAATGTGCAATTTCTAGAGGCAGGTGGTATTTCCAGATCCACTGTAGCCATAAATACTGCAAGAATAGAAAAACACATTAATATTGTTTAGCTCATTCAGGGAAAAAGGAGTATGAGACCTTTAGTCCTCACTTATTTCCTTCTATTCATTGCAAATACTAGTTCATCATAGTAAAGAATGTAAACCTGTCTCACACACACAACCATGCCAATTTGAAAATTATATCCTTAGGAAGGTAAACATTGAAACCATCTTGATAACTACCAACCTTCCTTATGCTGTTCTTCTGTGGTTTTCTTCGCTTTCTGAGCTTGAAAAAGATCCCGGACAGTGTGTGACCCACCAGAGAAGTGGCTTGACTGAACTGATGGGCGACTGGAACATGTGGAAGTGTTTGGATTAGCTGGAGTCAACTGGTTCATTTGAATCCCAACCTAGAAGATAAGTGTAGGAAAACTAAAGTAAAAATAAGACTTCTCAGCAAAATTCTCAGCTTGTTTTTTATTGTCATAGAATAAAGTGAAACTAGCAAACAGATTTTTGTATGATTTATTACAAAAATTACTATATGAGCCATTGAGCAGTTATTCTACCTATACAGTAATATTTTAAAATTAGAAAATGAACAAGTAGAGCCACTGATGTTCTAAGAAACTAAGGTTTTTGAGTAGGGTTTTTAAAAAAAGTCTGAGGGCCAGTGTGGTGGTGATGCACACATGTGATCTTAACTGTATCCTCCCTACCTCCCAGGTAGCTGAGGCCAACCCAGGAAAGAATAAACAAGCTAGGAGTGGTAGCTTGTGGTTCTAGATATAGGGAAGGCCTTGTATCTAGAAGTACAAGGTCTGCCCGTGGCTTAAGTAGGAGTCCTTAAGGTCTGAGTATCTGAGTATGGCTCGCTAGAGTGTTCAGTATGGGAGAGGGGGGGGTGAGGAGGGAAGGCCTACTCAGTGACTCCACCACCCCCTTTTGTGTTTGGTCCTGGGGACTGAACTCTTGGGCCCAAGTGCTATCTGAGTTATTTTTTCCCTCAAGACTAGCACTCCCACTTTGGCGACAGTTCCACTTTCAGCTTTTGTGTAGTTAATTGGAGGTAAGAGTTTCATGGCCTTTCCTACCCAGGCTCACTTTGAACCTTGATCAGATCTCAGCCTATAAGTAGCTGGTATAACATGTAAGTCACCACATGTAAGTCACCAATGCCTGGCTTTCCATTAATGTGTATATGTCTAAGAAAACACGACACACTTATCCAAACGATGGGGAGTGGCTAGCAGAGTGTGTGTATGTGTATATATAGTACAGATCTATATTGTACCACTACTACCTCCTACTACAGAATTCTCATAGAATACACTATTTCAGGGATTAATCTTGAACAAAATTCATAGCAAGTCCAACACGGCCTTTCCTCTCATGGTAACACCATCCTACACAGGCTTACATTTCCGAACAGAAATCTAAAGTTTACACACTAATAGTAGCTGTCATGTCTGGCATAAAGGCATCCACATGTGCCCATGGTTTCTCTCCTTTGTACACCAGCATGGAACAGCATCAAAGTTCTAACTAAAAAGAACCTTAAAAGGAGAAGATTGACAGATTAACGGTCCTCAAAGTCCCATCTACTAGGGAAGTAAGAATGTAGTAAGATAGCGATCCTAACAACTCTAAAATCTGCTAAAGACTAAAGAAGTCAGGTTACATGCTTGCTTGGATTACATCAAAGGAGCTGAAGGCCTGCACATGAACCTTATTTCCAACCATCTTACAAGGCTCAAATGAGATATAAATTAAATACTATACACTTACCCCTCTCATATCTGATATGTTTAGCTTCATTGTATGAAACATGTTTAGAGTAGCCTTCCCAATGATTTTTGCACTATCGGTTGCCTGGTCAAGAGTTACAGTCCTGTAAGTGATAGAAATGTTTTAAACTATACATTCTATGCAGATGGGTTTATTAGTACCTCTAAGAGTTTATTCAAAAGCTTATAGAAACAAGGGGGGGGGGGTTATAAGAAACCAGCAATATTAAACATTCAGTAGCAGCGAGAAGGGAAAAATGTTAATGTGAGACTTCAAGGTAAACGCTAGAGTTGGTCAAAAAATTTTTAGTGATGCATGTTAAAAAATACACTTTGCAATCAATGCATAAATTCACAGTAACTACAATGTTCTAGATTCCAAAAGCACCTCTCCAAGTTGAAGAGAAGATGAATTCTGTTTTGGTTCTTGACTCTTCATTATGTTTAATGATTCTATTTCAAAATTTAAGTATGTTCATTCCAATATTACTTTCTAACAGGTTCTATAAATGGACCCAAAAACATGTGGCTTCTATGACAAAAAGTATGGTGATAGACTGGTCTAAAAAACAGACTAGAATACATGAGCTTAGATCTATGAGATACCTTGAAGCCATCACTATTATGTGGCAAACCACAATGAGCTCGCCCTTTGGAATTGGGCTAGATAAAAGTAGAGTGTACCAATTCAAAAATGGGTTACCATAAGCTATTTTTTGCATATGAAAGTATGATGGAACTATGTGATGAACTGGATCTGATTTTCTCCTATAGAAATTATACTACTAAACTCAGGATAGTGGCACATGCTTCTAATCCTAGCACTCAGGAGCAAGAAGGTTTCAAATTGAAGGCAATCCTGGGCTACATATTTTTAGGTTAGTCTGAGCCACATAGTAAGACCCCCATCAAAAAAGATAACGACATGGTATTTCTGAGTAAGGATTTAATAATAAGTTCAGTATAGAAGTGACCATTAACACATTATTAAAAGTGCCATTTAAAATATATGTATTAAACTAAATAGTCCAATAAACCAAAGACAATGTATCTTTAAAACTAGGTTCTTCCACTTTGTTTTCATGATGTGCATCAGTGAGGGGCTATCACTGTACACACAAATGTTTGACATAAGCTAACTCCAGTAAGCCTATACAATCTCATATGTGGTTTTTACTCCAAGAATTCTCATATTGATCACAAGTATTACATGAAGCTTAATATCTTCAATGTAGCCCAGACATCAAAAACTAGGGTTCTAAACAAATGCTTTCTACCAGTTTTCAGAGATGTCAGTTATTTTGCTTTTTTATTCAATTTTTAAAAGTACCATATGTAATTTCCTTCTGGTAAAGTTGCAGTTAGGCTTTTCAAAAACCAAAACACACTCCCAGGTCTGCAAATCTCTTCCTACACACACTAAAGTTAGCAGCCTGGAAACTCTAAGCAAAGACTGCCAGATGGATGGACTCCAGTGCTGCTATGATTTTTTCCCCAAAGGCTCTTGTATTAGAAGCCCAGTCTTTAGTTATGTTGAGGTAGGGGACCTTAACAGTTGGGGTACGATAGGAAGTAATTAGTTCATGGGTATGGCACTGTTCTTGGAAGGAACTGATGTGGGTTTTTTTGAGGTTCTGGTTCTCAAGAGAATGATGGTTCTCAACAGTCCCAGTTATTGGTTAGATGTGTGGATCAAGTGGTAAAATAACCTAAGCAACTGTGAGGCCATGTTGTCCCCTGCTCCCCTCTCAAAAAAGTTAGCATAAATGAATGACCAAGGACCTCTGTCACACCTTGTGATCTGTCATGGCATATGTTCCTGTCACCTTAGCCAAGTTCTTGAATCGTTAGGACTTTGGGCAAAATAAACCTTCATTTTGATATAACACAAACTAAAATATATACTTAAATCAAATGACCTAGTTAGGTCAAGTCCTGGCTCTACAAAATGGTATTACAACTTTGTTAAGAATTTATAGATTTTTACACCAAATAGTCATTGATTTTTATAAGCTCTAATACCTATGCCAAAAATAGAATTTACCAACTTTCTTTGTAAGATAAGCTTACCTGGCAATGTTATCACAAATTCCATGACCTCCAAATTTTGCAGTTTCTACAGGAGCCCCTGGTTTTCGTACCATGATTTTGAGAGTCAGACGTTTACCCTTCATGCCAGCAGCTTCGAGTCGTCTTTGAATTTCTTCTGAAAGACTCAAAAGGAAAGCTTCTGCCTCTTTTGGCTACATAAAGACAAACATGACAAAACTTCCATATTATTTTCCTTTATAAACAATTCTCAAGCATTTTGGTTAATATTCAACATGTCTATTTTTGCTCTCTGAAGCATCAAAACTTAGTATTTCCATACCTTTAAGTATTTTTCAAAAAAAATGTTTTTCCTTTCTCACTTTTCCATGCCATCACTGAGCTGTTGAAATTCTTCTATCTTTACATTCTTATTAAATTCTATTAATGAAATATACTCTCATTGTTCCCTATACATCCCAAGCATTGGCTCCCCTTTAAAGGAATCAAGAACTGTAGAGCTCCAAAAAACAAGCTCACTTTCAAAATCTCATTACACTGAGCTCTGTTTATGGATCTAAATTCCAGAGATACATACAAATATATTCAGAAGTAAAGACAAGTTAATAATCTGAGCCACTATTTCTAGATGAATCAGGTGAAACTTGCAACTTTGTCTTCCCTTCATTGGAAATTGAGTCATTATAAATACAAATAACTGCTGACTCCAAAATGCAATGTTTTAATATCTTTCCCTAAAGATCTGGGTTTTCTTGGTCTTTTCTGGGCTTCTCCCCTATTATATACATTGCCTAAAAAGACTTTGCTAAGGCTTGATGAATAGCATGCATTAAGGTTTAACTTCAAGCATCAAGTTACAGGTAACTGGATAAAAAGCACCATGTAATAACACAAAATGGACATTTATGCAAACATACCTGAGTAAACCTTATTCCATAGTTGATTTCAGCTGAAATGGATTTTCTTTCCTTTTCTGTTCGAACTGGTCTATCATCCAAACCACGGCAGAACCTATAAAGCATCTGACCAGTTTTGGGACCAAATTCTTTTTGAAGTTTTGCCATGGTCATGTACTGCAAGTCTCCACAAGTTCTAATTCCCAAAGCTGTTAACTTCGATTCCATTGAACGTCCAACTCCTAAGAAAGGAATGTTATTTACTTCTTAATAATGAAGGATAAACTATTGAAAAATGACAGGAAAAAAACCTCATCCACATACAAAGCAATTTAAAATGAGTATTATCACAAGAGTGTGATTTTTATTAGGATTGCTTTCTTATCCACAAAATCAACTAGCAGTAGACCCTTGCTTTAAAAAGTCTACAGTATGACTTACATATTCAGTTGCATTGAATGCATCCACTTTTTCTTTAGTAATTCAACAAGAAATTACAAGGTATGCCTGAATCTAAAAATAATTGCTACTGGAGTGACCTAAGATTTAAGATTTCTAACCAACCCACAAATATAGCCTCTCTGTAGCCCTTTCACCTGAATCGAGGGCTTCAAGCGTTGAAGCACTTTGAGCCGTGTCCCAAGTTCTGGGGAATTCATTTTCTCAAAAAGTCAGTCTCCTTAAAGAGATGGTATGAATCCTCCTGGACCCACATGCTGCCACCTCGTGTTCTCCCCAATGTAAAAGCAAGGTTTTGAAATCCAACCCACAGGATTCTGATAAGTTCTGCTCTAACTTGAGGAATGGTTTTGGTTTTCTTCAATTCTAAAAGCTCTAAAAAGAATATGTACCTCTAGAAAGCAGTTAAGATTTACAGAATCTTAAAAAATGGTGTGGAACCCCATACTATTAAGTATTTTCCACCAATGTGTACATGGTCTTCTGTACATTATCCAAAGAGCTAAAAGTACAGTTTTCTATTTTCTGCTCATTGTGGTTATGAATTATCAGTGGCATGAATTATCTCAAGTTCTTGTCATGAAAACCTCGGGAAGCATTAATGTATGAATGACACAATGTTAAGAGTTCATGAAGTTTACAAAAGACCTATGGTATGGTTATAGGCCAAACAAGTTTAAACCAAAATGGTTGGTTTACTCTCTATGGAAATTAGATGAACAGTGTTAAGAATGCTGGCTCCCTGAGGAGCCATTTTCAATTTCAAGTCAAAACAATAGGCAAGTAAAAACACCAGAATTCTAGGTTAACAAAAACATTCCAGAAGGCTTCACAAAATAGTGCTGTCATTGATAATTTTTCAAACAGAAACTTAAGAGAAAGGACAAACCACACCAAAGGTAAACAGACACTTTGCACAGATATTTATGTTGAGAGGCTTTTTCTTTTCTAGGGGCTGGCCCCTCTTCCTACTCTTGGTGCTTTGATGCCCACCTGCAATTAATTAATTACACATCTAGAAAACAAATCTATTCCAACACTTTGCAAGTTTAGAAAGAAGCAATGCTGGGCGCTGTCCCTCAGCTCTTCAGCTCAAGGCTAGCACTCTACCATTTGAGCCACAATATCACTTCCAGTTCTCTGGTGGTTTACTGGAGATAAGAGTCTCATGGACTTTCTTGCCCAGGCTGGATTTGAGTGGTGACCTCAGATCTCAGCCTCCTGAGTAGCTAGGATTACAGTGTGAGCCACGGGCGCCCGGTGGCACAATATAAAAAAATAAAGAAACCCAACCCTGGAGGGATACACCTATAATCCCAACAGTTGGGAGGCTAAGATCGAAGATTAAAAAGTTTGAAGCTAGGTCTTGGTTATGGAACAAGACTTTAAAACCAAACAAAATCTGTGTGTATAATATACAAATTATGAAATGCCCTTATAAACATCTTCAGTAAACATCAAAAGACTTGGTCTTGCCTGGTAGATTAATAACTAGCTGGCCTCGGATAAAATCATCCACTTCATCTGGTTGTAGATGGTACTGCCCATCTGGTTTTGCTTTTCTTGTTGCCATTCTAGCCAAGAGAATATTAGAACCTATAAAATTAAAAAGGAAAAAAGTAAATAAGAAATATCCACAATTATTTAAAATTTTTAACATATTTATATAACACTGGTTACTACTGAATCTGTAAAAGCAATGAAAATGCAGTTTGACTATTTCAGACATGGTATGTTCCTAGCAGACTCATTAAATATTCCAGACTACAGCAAACATGATTGCTACACAGAGGTTTCTCTTTAGTCTAAAACAAATGCTATTTCAACATAGAGAACACAGCTCTGATCTTAAAGAGTAATGGTCATAGGAATCATGGGGGATAATCAGAAATGAGGGAAATGAGGCTACAGCCTAGAGAAACAGAAAACTCAAAGAATCAGAGCAGGTGTCACAATGCTGAGGGGAGGAGAGTCTTTGAAACACAGATGAAGATGGGTAGTAAGCATAAGCCGAGACGAACCAGAGAATCACTGAGTACTGAGAAAACCGAGGAGCTCAGCTATTTGCTGCTAGGTGAAACTCCATGAATAAAATCTCAAACATTATGGAATATCTGTATCAAGGACATTGAGAAGACTTTTATATAAGACTATGTAATTTTCTTAGACTAAGTATAGAGATTCATGGAGAAGTTGTTGGGTGACAGCCAAGCAATCACAATGTCTTAAACCCTAGTTCCACACAAATAAGTTTAAAAAAAAATTAAAAAGGACAGTAGACCATCTTCTGATAATTTTTTGCTGGCTATCAGGTATGGTAGTATATGCCTGTAACCCAATCATGGTACAATGAAGCAGGAGTATCTCAAGTTTGAAGCCATCCAGGCTAATAGATTGGTTATACAAGACCCTGTATCTCATAAATCATTGGAAAAAACTTTTGCTGACCAAGCAGGGACTGCTTCAGGACAAGCTAATTTCCAAGGATAGTAAACCATTTACTTGGAAGTTTACCTCTCACATACCTAACCATACCTGACCACTATCTTATCAAACTCCCATATATTAAGCTAGTATTTTCTCCCTCCTCTCAAGTGATCCCAATGTAAAAAAAAAAAAAAAAAAAATCAACCTTTAGCCTGAAGCCTGCTAAGAATACTCAAGCTAGTCTAAACAGCTTCCTCTACCCTACCCTACCTTTGGAAACCCCAGTATAGACTTTCCCATGGTATTTCTACTTTTCCTGACCATCCTCATCCCAGTGCTTCCCTCATGGTCCTGACCAAAATGAAAGTGATCAAGTGTTCTTTCAACAGTATTTGCCTACAGAACTGCCCCTGGAAGTTGGGTAGATACAAAAGATAAAATTTGAGAGGAAAAAAAGAGTTGAACTTGAGGATAGAATAATAATAGCTGGGAATGACAAGCAACCTCAAAGTGCTAATTACCTACCAAAACTACAGGAACAAATAGGCTTCACTCAAGAGAATGGCAAAAAGGAGGGAAAGAATCTTGGCAGAAGGTCTGAGTAAGTAGAGGAGAGAAGAGATGGTGTAAGAAGCTTAAGCTTTACAGAGGAAACAGCTCAAAGACTCACCAGAAGGAGAACAAGTGGTGAGAACAAAAACAGAGTGGTCTCAAAAACAGAATGGATGAGTAGGAAAAGACTAGTCACTGAGAACACAGTGTGTATGTGAGAAAGAGAGAGACAAGTACACACTCAGCACTGTCAGGAACAGTTGCAATTCCAGTAAACAGTGGAGAATAATAAGACTCAAACTAAACTCCAAAATATATTTCACCATTCTGCTTTTTAAATATATCTTCTGTTTTAATCTTAGAAAAAAAATTGTTTACAAATACAACTTATTCTCCCCCCTCCCCCTTTTTTGTCGGTCATGGGGCTTGAACTCAAGGCCTGGACACTGTCCCTGAGCTCTTCTGCTCAGGGCTAGTACTCTACCACCTTGAGCCATAGCACCACTTCCAGTTTTCTGGTGATTAATTGTAGGTAAGAGTCTCCTGGACTACCTGGCCTGGCTTCAAACCATGATCTTCAGATCTCAGCCTCCTAAGTACCTAGGATTACATGCATGAGCCACCAGTGCCTTGCTTGGATCCTCTTTTTTGAAACATTCTAGTAGCCTATGATATCTGGTGTACTAGAGAGGATGTTCCAGGCTAATCTGACAAAAGAACTCCCTTTACCTGGAACCAGGTCTTATAAATAATTCTCAAGTTTCATTAACACTGAGTAGCTAGGATTACAAGCATGAGTTACTAATACTTGGCTCCTTCACCTTTTTATTGGTAGTACAGGGAACTCAAGGCCTTGCACTTGATGGGAAGGTGTTCTTTACTAAGCCATACCTCCAGGGCATTTTTTTACATGAGCATATTTTGAGGTAAGAGTCTTGTTTCCTGCAAGCATGATGCCTCCACTATGATCTACTTATTTTAGGTTTTCCATCATAGCTAGGATGACAGGCATGTACCACCATGCCAGCTTCCTTCTCCTATTGAGAGGAGTCTCAGACTTTTCTGCTGCAGCCAGCCTGGTACTATGACCCTCTTGATCTAAGCCTACCACACATAGCTAGGATGACAAGAACATTCAGCTATCAACTGAGGAAAAGTCTGGTAGATTTTTCTTTCCAGCTGACCTCAAAACCACTGTCTCATCTTAAAAATAGCTAGGATTATAGGCATAAGTTACTGTATACAGCTAACATTCCCAGTTTTGAATAAGAAAAAAAATACTCAAACTGATTATTGCAAATAAATTATCATCCATTTACTTCAATATCCACCATTTTAGCTATGTCCTACACAGCTGTAAGGAATGTTAAGAATTGGAATTGTTTTAGAGGGGATTGGCTCTCTTCTGGAATATGTATTAAGCTGATAAAAACTTTAAAACTAAGTGGCTTCAAGGATGTCCAAGCAATTATTTGGGTAAAATGAGTAATAATAAAGCACTAACCAATTCCAACAGAAGCAGCACATTTAGTCTTGTCTTTGATTTCCATTCGCACAGCATTTGCAAATTCATCAGGAGTAAGTCTGGTCTCCGCAAGAATTTCAGTGATGTCCACCAGTGCTTCATCACAACTGACAGCTTCAATATTATGAGTATAGCTATCAATACAAAGCAGTCAGTGAATCACAACTATATAGTTTCCATCTGGTAGACACAAATGTTGCAAAATAAAAGTTTTCATAATATTTTACAATTTCCTCACAAGGCATTTTAAAAAAGACCAAAGTAACAGCAACAACAACAGGATTTTAAACAAACTGGCTAAATATTCAAGAATCTGATTTATTTTTAAGTGATACTGGGGTTTGAACTCAGGCCTTGTACTTGCTAGACATTTGTTCTTCAACTTGAGCCACATAAAAATCTCCATTCAAGAAATGAATATATTATTTAGGCAAAAACAAAACTAGAAGAAAATAGACTAACAGATTCCCCCACCTCTATCCAATTAGAAAGGTCAACTAAAACTGTCTTCAAAAACTGAAATTAAACCAGCAGTAGGTAGCCTACATCAGAAATCACCCTCAAGTCCTCATGGCCCAAGGTACAGGCCAGCATTCTACTCCTGGCAGTTGATACTCTGAAAATAGGAGCACCACTGCTCAGCTCAGTGGCCCATTCCTTGTCCCCACTTGGATGCTACCAGTGATTTCATCTTCAAGACAGATTTAAAACACTTCCTACTTGGTAACACCAACATTTCTATTCTAGGGACTTTAAAAACAGCTATGACTCTAACTGGTTTAGCATGCACCACAAAATACTACATACTGACTAGGTAGCAATCTTTCCTGATACATATTCTTAGTAGAATAAGCTCCTATAAGGACAGGAACTTAAATTATTTCTCTTGATGAGACAAGGAATATCTAGGAACCATCTATACTTAAACAATACTAGTATTCAGAATAAAGTATAAGAAAGAAGAGGTAGTGAAGATACAGACAAGGAGTCTACCTCTTAGAATAAATATCAAAGCATCAAGATCTACAAAGTTTTACTCTTTAGAAATTAATTTTTCCTGGAGTCCAGCTTAGGCAATCACTGTAGCTGCTTCTAAACTGCAAATAACTCAGTAGTTATGACCCAAATTTTATCTGGCCCTTTAAGCAGAAACCATGCAGTTCAGTTATTAGAGCACAAATAGGTTGCCTTTTCTGTTTATGTGATGCTAAGGAATTGAACCCAGGGCTTCATGTGTGCTAAGCAAGCACTCTACTAAGCCACATTCACAGCCCCCTACCATATACCTTTTTGAGTTTTGAGTAAATATTAAATATATTTCTACTATAAATATTTTTAAAGCTAATCTCTTTTAAGTCAACTAGCCATTTTGAAACCCAACTGTGAAAGACTAACTTATGAGTAATGATCTTACAATAAAGGTTTCAAAGTATCTATGCTTGTCAACACCCTATCAGTTCCAATTTTATTTACTTATTTAATTTATGATACAAGGTCTCACTATGTAGTTCCTGTTGGTTTTGAAATCATGAAATCAAGTGATCCTTCAGCTTCTGGAGTAGCTAGGACTACAGTGCATACTACCACATTCAATTCTAGAGTTCTAATTTTAATGGGCAGAGAATCAGACTTTATTTCACCATCAAGGAAGCAATTGTTAGCAATGCAAAAATGTTCTTTGAGATGAAGGTTCTCAATTATAAAACTGCCCACAGATGAAGGTTCTCAATTATAAAACTGCCCAAAGAAAGAAGAGTCAAATGTGGATGCTAAGGAAAGTTGTCCTGAGAAAGATGAAGTCTAGCAAAAGTACTCCTGATAATGCTAAAAAAACTGAATTATGTTTAACAGCAGATAAAAGGATAAATACCTTGCCAATGTTTCATACATTGTTTGTGCAACTTCTTTATATGCATGAAAATCATATGGAACGGCTTGAAGATTAGGACAGAGCTGTTTAGCATGTCCAAAAAACATTCCATTCTTAATGCCAACTTGTCTAGAGAGAAAAACAAGACACAGTGAGAGTTATACTAAGAAGTTTTAAGCTGAAAACCAAGTATCAAATATGTTGATACCTCCCCATGCCACTAATATAATATACAAGTTCCATTTAACTTTCTTTCTCATTAGGGGTTAACGGCAGGCATTAGGAAAACTTACAGGTTTGTTTTCCCCCCAACGGAAAATAAACAATTCTCTCACAAATGTAACTGACATCTCTTTGTCAGAATCTGAAGACTTCTCCTAAGGCTTGACCTCTGGCCCCTTTGCAGAGATGCCAGCATGCCATATGCTGGTGATATCACAACCACCACAGAGCAGGAATATGCTGTCAAAAAAGGTTTTCTTCCCCTAATACATGGCACAGTTTGGCCAGGGTTCATCCCCCAAAGACAAAGAATATAAACGCAAGAACTACACAAAACAGTGCTATGTGACAAACAGACAAAATGTACTCATCCTATTACCACCCAATTCCCAATTGACCAATTCCATGCTCCTGAAGTGGCTCCACAGTGGTTGAGATGCCAACAGCATTGTATATGGTAGGACATCACTCTGGGCAGGAGCCAGGGTTCCAGAACTTTGAGGGACCTAATTGAAAATGGTAAATTTTAAATCTACTGTGTGTCTCAATGCCCCACATTACCTTTGATATTTGGAGCATTCAGCACAAAACTATAATTATGGAATTATACATAATTAGTAAAATTCCATTTTTATCACTCTGTAAAGAATCAAGAAAAAATATTACAGTGAAAACACAAGCAAAATAAAGCAATGTTTCACCAGATTACATAATAGTACATAGTATAGTCAGGGTCATTGTATACATTCATTCAATAAATGTTTACTAACTGCTTACTTAGAATGGAGGTGTTTATGTTTAAGAAACATATACGAATAAATCTCTTAATTGCTCAGGGGTCTTTGGTACTTTCCAAATCAGAGAGCCAAGAAGGAAGACCCTTCAAGTTATTCAGGAGTAAATGCAAAAATCACATTCATTTTTATATACACAAAAGCCATGAAAACGATCTCATTGTTAAGTCTGTAGTAAAGACTATCCAAACAAGAAGGAAAAATATTATAGTAAAGGAAGTGGTGACTGACATCAATGGCAGAGAAAACAAATCTTTCATTCATTTATCAAATACTATGTCTCAGGCATTCTGTTTGTTGCTGGATGGAAGAGGGTAAACAAGAGTTCTCATGACACCATTCACCCAGCAAAAGATGAATTGGTCAACAGGCTTTAAAGAACCAACAGGCTGATCAAACCAGGAAAATGAATATATAATAGGGTATATGTATTTATACATATATATATGTATATATATACACCCATTATATTACTTATATTATGGCTTAGGAAAGTTTTCAAAAATGTTTAAAGCAGAAAAGAGTAAGTATACTTTTGATGTGTTCCTGCACATTTGCCAGAGAGGAAAATGAAGAGCACTAGATATTTTAAAGCTGTAACCAAAAAAGGGAGCAGAGTACACTGAGCTGAGGTTTGGGAAATTAAGATTTATTTCACAGAAACTCAAGGTATTAAGACAATTATAAAAATGTCTGAAGTAAATGTGTTCTTCAACAGAATAATTACCCATTCCTCCCAACCTAAAATCCCATGCAGGAAGAATCACCAACTGTAATTCCTATGTATATGAAAAATAGAATTTATTCTCTGATTTAAAGTACATCAGAGCATAATCTGTATTGCAATCTGTTTTGCTGAGGAAATATACTTCTTATTGTATAAGACTACACAATTAAAAAAAACTCAGCCATCAAGTCTCTGTTACTGTCTTCTACTCATCAGAATCATTTAGTAACAGTATTAAAGGGGCTTTTATGAAAGCATGTAAAAATAGAGGCTTGAAAATTACTGAAGAAATCTAGAATTCTAGAGGATGTATATATTATTATCTATTCATCCATTATTGACCTTCTCACTTTATGTATAAGCTTGCTTGCCTTTTGTGTAAGTATGAGTAAAACTACTGTAAATAATGTACACTGTAATCTACGTATGCATATTCCACTTCTGGGTGATTTTTAGCATCTCATACTCATATTTCATCCAATGTTAACTTCATTATTAAGTACATTCAAAACTCATGAGCTAGGGGTGTGACTAAAGTGGTAAAGCCCTTTCCAACAACCTCAAAGATATGAATTCAGTTCAATTTCCAGTGCCACCAAGTAAATAAGAAACTACACAAAAAACACAGAACTAGAATGACAATCACCACAGTCTACTCCTCTCCAATCTCAGAAGCAGCTCTCTAATGAAATTATACTTGTTTTAAATAAAAATCTTCACAGAAAGAAAATATATCTGTTGAGGATTCTCTCTCTTGCTTGTTCTCTCTCTCTCTTTCTCTCATATATACACACAGAGAAATTTATCTTGGAATGATTTTCTCTCTCTCTCTCTCTATATATATACATGTATAAGAGTAGCTTTCTACATAATGGCAAGTACAATTAAAATGCCATAACCCGGAACTGTGGGATTGTTTAGTTATATTCAACTTATACTCAAATTCATTTTCATCTCTTTATGGATTTTGTTAACATTAACATTTGTCACTTAACTGGCAATTAATGGCTTCCCATGCAGTATTTGGCATTCATATAATCAATCTAATTATTTTGTAAGGCCTTCAGCTTTATTATCACCATGTGTGGGTCAATACAAATGCAAATGCCAAAGGCCTAGAGCCTAGACACCAAGTGTGGCTGCTGAAATCCAAATCAGGAGCTGAAAATGCTTCTACATTTAAGACTGCCGTGGGATTTCTCACTGAACATTTTTCTTTTGGGTGTTAATGGGAAGTAGCAATGGCAAAAGTGTGTCTCTTTTCTCACAAAGTAGCAACACTCAAAGTATGTATTTCTAGGCAGCAACACACATTTACACTCTAACAACTGGCAGCCATCAAGTCATCAATCAGTAACAAAATGGGTAAAGAAAGGTTAGCCTATTTAGTGCCATACAATCTCAGTTCTGAACTCCTATGCTAAGAAAAAGTTTTATCAACAATCATAAATACATTTGTGTCTCAATTATTATTAAATTAATTTCAACTCTTTGGATAGGTTATCAATTGAAAATGAAAAAGATTAAAACAGTTTTGTTAGCTAGTGGGAAAAGGTCTAAGTTAGGCTGGGAGTAAAAGTGTGGTATGTAATCAATGACTAAGAATTTAACATTATTAATTATGCATATTTGAGGAACATTTTTACTTTACTAGAAATGTTTTAACCTATTTTGATGTTATATTAAACTCAAATATTGTTTGTTCAGACAAGACTTGTCTGAACAACAGGCCTGCATGAAGACTGAAACTAACGTAAGACTACATCTTTACTGAATAAAATGTACCAACAATATGTGTTGTAAAGTTAAAAAAAGTCTCAACAGGAAAAAGGTTGTCTAATCACGTAACAATCTCTTATTTTTACATTATAATTGGTTGCTTAAATGATGTATTTTCTTTTTTTTGTTTGTTTTTTTTTTGGGGTCCGGTCATGGGGCCTGAACTCTGGGCCTGGGCACTGTCCCTCAGCTCTTCAGCTCAAGGCTAGCGCTCTACCACTTGAGCCACAGTGCCACTTCCGGCTTTTTTCTTTTTGCTTATATGGTGCTGGGAATTGAACCCAGGGCCTCAGGCATGCAAGGCAAGCGCTCTACCACTGAGCCACCTTCCCAGCCCCATGATGTATTTTCTTTAAATGAGAAACATGTATACGCATTTCTTCTTGTATTAAAACAGCCAATTAAAATAATGATTTAAAATTATTGTTAAGTAAAAACTTAAAACATTAAATTGTTGCTAACATGGTGATAATCCTCTTAACAATGCTAGATGAGATTTTTATTACTATATTTTAAAAGGCGATTCAATTTTAACACAAAAATCACCAATTACCAATTTTATATTATAGAAATTTTTTTAATTATCTAGAAAAAGGGTAATTTGTACTAATAAAAAATGTAATGCTATCTAATAGAGCTTAGAATATTTAGATTCTGTTTCAAGATCTCACTCAAGAGAACTCTTTCATGCTCAAAAGACAAGAAAAACAACAAAGCTAATTTCTTTTAGTGTTTACTGAAGGACCTGTAAGTTTATAAAGAATTATTAAAATTATTTACAGGAGGAGCAAATGAGGGGATTAAGGACAAAAATATCTTGTTTCCAAAACATGTTTATAACTTGTAATTACAGGCCTGCCTGACATGTCTTATTCTTTCACAGGATTATTTAAAAATAATTAACTACTCATTAAGAATTACAACACAACTTCTACATACCTGGCTTCATAACTACAAGAAGCAATTTCAGCCTTTGACAAAACAGAATCAATTCCATTTGTTTGTGCAGAATCTTGATTCTCCCACATTGATAAATCTGGTATATCTGCTTTAAAATAACATAATATAGTGATTACATATACGTTAACTGATTTTCCTTAACTCTTATTCAAGAAATTTGTTTTCTATTATTTTCATTTCATAAATTTCAAAACTAATCATCTCTATGTTATTTCCTTATTTAAAAGAAAACTAACTCTAGTATGGTTTGCTTCCATTATATTCTTCTTCAGCAGTCACATTAAAACATATCACAAAAATTCAAAGTGTCATGTTTTAGAAATAGGAATTTTTTTAAAGCACACCAAAAGATAAACAAAGACATTTTGTAATACACAATCCTTTAAATTGGACAAAGATGGAAAGTGGTAGGGAGATGAACTCCCTCTCCTAAAGCCTCACAAGGACTCTGTAGTGGGAAAAAGTTAATAGAAAACACAAAATTCTCTGAATGTTCTTTGCTGTTTCCTGAAAGAACTACGTGCAGAACTTAATTAACATGTTTAATTCATGTATTTCTACTGTCCATTTGATCAAATAATAATTTAGTTTGGTCACATATCACAAAGAAGATATTCTTACACATCATAAATGTAAGCTTTTTTCTTTTAGATACATATCAGGTAAAAAAGAGCTTGATAACATTATTTCCCCTTTCAGTTAATTCTATTTTTGGCTTAACAATGAGTGTTCAATTAAAATACCTAAATTCAAGTGCAATCAGACAATCAATTATTTTACAGAACACAACTCTAATAGAATATAAATCATCACTCTTATTATGCAAATGAAACTTTAGTACTTGACACAATATAAAAGCACATGGTCTAGGCAGCATAGTGGCTATATATTATTTAACTTCCTGTATCATCTTTAGCTTCCCTAGTAATTGAGCAACAGGATAAATCTGTAGTCTCAGGCCTTGGAGTAAATAATACCATTAGGTTCTAAGAGTATGCTGTAAAAAAAACAAAAAAAATTCTAAAAACACAATCTCAGTCATTTCTCTACTATATGATCAAAAATACCAATAGTAAAACAAACCCAAAATATACCTCTTCAGCTAATTGTAGACAAACCTATTCTGAGTCTATTATAACAATACAAAGCTAACAAACCCACCATTTTACTTCTGTTTAAGAAACTACTCCAAGAAAAATCAGCCAAAGTAGTGTACCACCAGACAAACGTGGGAAAGCATCTGGCTTCATGGGCTAAAAAAATGTTCTTGTTTGATCAGTAGTCATTACTATCATTCACCTAACTATGCAAACCATACAGGCATTTCCAGATTCCAACATACAAGAAGTCAAACTCAAAAGTGGCATCTAAGTAGGGTCAATCCTACTTGCATTAAAAATAAAAACAGCAGAGTATGTAATGTGAGCTATGTTTTATGATAAAATGTGAACAGTATATCCCATTGTTAAAAACAAGACAGAAAGCCAAGCAGATTATCCATTGTGTCTGTACTAGTCCATTATTCTAATGTATTATCAGGGATTATCAGTAACACAGTCCTAAAGAGGGTGCTACTAGACAAAAAAAAAAAAAGGTGTGGACACTTGCACAGCCACAATCAACTGCCTTTCAAAGATAAAACTGTGACTTATGCTTTAAAAGTCAGGGAGTTATATGATCTTTGTATTTGAAAGGCTAGTAAGATTCTCATCTGGAAATTACAGGAAGCTCATGCTTGAGGCGCAACAGGGTATATAGTCCATGCGCCCCCAATGCTCTGGCCTGAGAGGGAGCACCATTGTGTTCCTCTTCACTGGGCTGGCTGACCTGTTCCACAGTGCAGCAGAGTGCGTGGGTCCCTCCACCAGCGGAGTGAGTTGCTTCATGTGAGATTCAGGGAAATGCAGGGACAGACTGTCCTCACTGGAGGGCAAAGTAGAGAACTGCTGATCAAAACTTGACAAACTAGACGGGCACATGGAGAATGTGGAGGAACGGTTGGAGAAATCAGAGGCCAGGACCCAAGTCTGTGAAAAAGAAATCGCTGAGAATAAATCTATGACTAATACGATTTTTAAAACTTGTTCTTTAGAATGAAAACTGAAGTTGTTGAAAGGACAGAAAACATCTGCACCCTGGGAATCTAGGAAGGGGTAAAAGGCCCCAACCATGAATTCTAGAGTATAAATGGTTTCAGATCATCAATGAGAAGTATAACTTCTGAGTACAGCTCAGGAAGCAGCATCCAAAGAAAGTCACAGATGGATAAGATCCCCTGGTTTCACTGGTCTAGTTTGGTTCTGAATGAGAAATAAGAAACCAAAGTTTCTAAAATGGACTTAAGATGCTTATTTGTCCTAATATTCTGACTAGACATACAAGCCAAACATTAGAATTGATTATTTTAAAGCTAGTGTGCAGAAGCCAAAGATTCTAATTTCGAAATTGATCTTCAATATGTTTATTTTTGATGCCATGTCTAATAATGACCCAGAGAAAGAAAGATTGGGAAAGAGGAACAAAGTCACTGGAAAATCAAGTTCTGAACACAAGTTGTAATCAAACCATATAATAAAGAAAATCTATTTATTTCATAGGTAGCAAATATTTTAATAACGCCTTAAGGGTTAAAAGGCTTAGGATATAAAAAATAAATGACAAAGTTAAAGTATAATATCAAAGTATTGCTGTCCACTTTTGCAGTGAGAGGAAATTTACATATTTCTTCTAATATTTGCTTCTGGTATGCTATGCACACTTAGAGGTAAAGGGGGTGTGAATTTTAAAAGTTCATTAAAACCTCATGAAAACGCAGCGGCTACAGGGATGAAGAAAACTAACCAATGACAACATTCTATTAATGAATCACTTATGGCCAGACAGTGATGGAAAGAAAGACAAAGAGGACCACCTGCCTGCTATACCAAAGGAACATGTGCCTGCTGAGATCAAAATCTAGATGCAGACTGCTGAAATAAAGATATGTGTAGCAAACTAAGACTCCACCCACCAGAGACAGAGCACAGAGTAATTAAAAGATAATACTGAACAAATATACCTGGGAATTTTTTTTTCTTTTAGCACTCATTTGGTAAGTACTTATTAAGTGTCCAGCATGTAGAAGTATTAGGCATTTCCTTAAGTTATTGTTTTCTACAAGAACTTAAGATTTCATTATCTTGTAAAACTACATAGAAACACAGAAGTAACAACCTATAAAACCACACTAAACACTTAAACCATATCACAAAACAAACTTCAACAAGTTCAGTAGTAACTAAACCAAAATATGCTCATCACAAACAATTCTAGAACCTCAAAAACCTCTGAAAAGACTTAATAACCAAAAAGTCTTAGAAACGGAAAAAACGTGTACAAGAATCATGTATAAACGTGTATGTGAAATTACTTTCTTTCATATTTATGCCATGTAATCAGATGATTACAACCAACAGATGATTTAATCCCCCAAAAGAATCCTTGGGGATTCTGATAATTTTCCCTTTCCCTTTGCCTCAGGAGAGATCTTTTCTAGAATAAGCCCAATGTTCTGCAACTAACAAACGAGGAAACATAAATAATTAGAATAGAAATCAAACTTCATGCCTTTATCATTCCACAGTATAGCTACAATATGGCTAATATTTTTCCTAAAAGAATTTCTGTAATAACAATGAAGAGGGGCTGGGAATGTGGCTCAGTGGTAAGAGTGCTTATTACCTAGCATGCATGAAGCCCTGAGCTTGATTCCTCAGTATTTCATAAATACAAAAAGCCAGAAGTGGTGCTGTGGCTCAAGTGGTAGAGTGCTAAAGCCTTGAGCAAAATAAGCTCAGGGACAGTGCCCAGTACCTGAATTCAAGCCCCAGGACTGGCAAAAATCAAACAAAAACCAAAAACATTGAAGAAACAATGCTTTTCTATAAAAACAAGAGGAAAGTGATCAGTGTCAAAAGTTTAGTAAGAAATAAAAAAAATGTAATAATTAAAAAATTATTTTGTAGGCATATTTGATTTTCAATGGCAAATGAAACTGGCATTTCTCAGCCAATTTACTGGCTGAGAAAAAATACACAGAATCTTAGAATATAATAATCAGTATAACATGATTTTTGTTTTTCCCTCTCTCCCCTTTGGTATTGATCCTGGGGGCCTTGAACTCAGGGGCCTAGATAATGTCCCTGAACTTCTTTCTTTTTGCTCACAGCTAGTGTTCTACTGCTTGAGCCACAGCTCCACTTCTAGGTTTTAAGTGGTTAATTGGAGATAAAGAGTCTCATGGACTTTCCTGAATGGGCTGGCTTCCAACCATGATTCTCCAATCTCAGCCTCCTGATAGCAAGGATTACAGGCTGAGCCACTGGCACCCAGAACACTTGTTTTTTAGTAACTAAAAAGTTCAAGTCAAGAAAATATTCCTTATCAAACAGGTTCAATAAGATATGGGGAGTGATTACTGATATTTATATTCTTATTCTACTAAAGTTCTAGTCTCTCTCCCCTTTCTCCACTGTGCTCCCCACCTCTTGCTCAAGGAGGAAAGGGGAAAAGACAGGTTTTCATTGCTGTGTTGCGTAGGCAGGCAGGCCTCAAACTCACAATTCTACTTCCTCAACCTTCTGAGTAGGTAGAACTAAAGGTGCATAGCACTGTGCTTAGCTTTCAGTTCTATAGATTCCTATTTCACGTTCTTATACTGTGATATCGGCACAAATGTAATTAGCTCTCAAATACAGATAAAAGGCCTCTATAAAATAATTTCAATCACCAAAGTCAATTCACATTAATCAAACATCATATTTAATAAATCATTCCTTACTCTCTGTTCCAGGAATATCTCACCATCCAATTCAACAAAGCAAAACTACAAAGCAGTCATTTGTATTCACATTTTTATTTTAGATGTTATGAACATCCTTAAAACATTTGAATGAAAAAGCTAATTACTGCAATTCTGCTTTAATTTCTATAAGAACAATACCAAAAGCAAAATCCAGAAGTCGTCCGTAGGAGCACTATTGACTTTAAAGAGCTCATCTGTACCTGCTTTGCCTTTCTGGATTTTATTCTGGTAATACTGCCACTCCAGCTGGGGGTTAGCGCCAGGACGTAAAGGTGCCCTTCCTGTGCCTCTGTTACTTGTAACAGCTACTGGTTTGCCTGTGAAGAAAAAATTAAGTTATTTCTACATCTAAGTACCAGGAGTGTTAAAAACATATAAAAAGTAAACTATTATTGACAATTTTGATACATTTCTTCAGTCTAAAAATTGCAGTGTCACTTAAAAGTTTTCTGTGGTTTTTATTTCTTACATGAGAAAATATACAATTCAGATCCTAGATTTGGATTAGAGATTAGGAGATAAAAGTAAACAGACTTTTTTTATCTTTCTGGAATCTGAGAAATAGGTTGGACATCTACATTTAGCTTTCAATAATATAAATGACTAGAAATCACAATCTGATGATATAACTAAACGTAACTAATGTATTCCCCTCAAGTTTTGCTTTAGTTAGAAAATTATTTTAATTTCCTTTTGTGTATGAGTAGTTGCACAATGACTGTGCAGTATAAAGCAGTAACACAGATGATTAATATATACTTATTAAATGTAACTGCTGTGAGGACAAAAACTAAAACAAAACTGTTGAGACCAGTGGTCAGGCACACGCTCAGCATGCACAAAGCTCAACACCAAAAAGAATCACAGGTAAAATAAAACCAGAGTGCATTAAAAACTTATCACTAATAAACTATAGTCAATTTTGAATGTTCTAAAAACTCATCTCAGGCTGAAGCAGCAACTATACTTGACAAAAATAAGACGTTAGTATTAACCTAACTCTGTAGCATAATTAGTAATTCTTTACATGAGCAAAAGATTGACTCTAGAAAGTATTTGTATCTCTTTCAGAAAGATACCTATTGAAAAACCTAAATGTTTTTAAATGACGAGTATGTAAATATATGAAAACTCACTGAAACCAAAACTGTTACATTTATGAAAATGTCATCATGGCTAGATACTGGTGGCTTATGCCTCTAAAGCCTAGGAACTCAGGAGGCTGAGACCCAAAGATTACGGCTCAAAGCCAGTCCAGGAAGAAAAGTCCATGAGATACTAATATCCAATAAACTACTCAGAAAAAGCTGGAAGAGTCACTTGGTTCAATTGGTAGAGTGCTAGCCTTGAGCACAAAAAGGCTCAGAGACAGTACCCAGGCACTGAGTTCAAGCCCTAGGACCAGCAAAAAGGAAATAATAATAGTAATAATAATAATGAACTCCATAAAAAGTATTTAAAAAATACTATCATAATAACAACATATTTTAGCAAGAGTCAGGAACAAAACTTAATCTACAACTATGATGGTGATTATCAGGACCGCTAAGCAAGTTATTTGCTCACAAGCAGTGACTCAAGTCTGAAAAACAAGACTATCAAAAAAATTCCATTAACAAACAGTAAAAAAAAAAAAAAATCCAGAAAATTTCCAATACAGGTCAGTTTCTGTACATATTAAATGTCAGTTAACATATGCCTTAGAGAAAGATGAGTATTTTCCTGAAAATCATCTTTAAGGAAGAAAGGGTTTTTGTTAGATTTTCCTACAACTTTCTTGATAATGGGAGGACAGAAAAATTAGAAGCAGAAATTGATTTTGCCAAGCAAAGTCAGAATAAATATTTTTTAAAGAATATTTCATTATCCCTTAGAAAATATATACAGAGCCGTTTATCAATTTTCTGAAAACAAGAGTACAGACCTTTGAGATCTGGTCTATTTCGTATACCCACTGACACAAAGAAGCAATCCATATCTACATGCATTATACAGCTCTGATGTCTAGGTGAGTTCAACACTGATGGATCTCCTAGAAGGAAAAAAGAGAACATTCAAACTGCAATTTTTCATGTTAAAAAATTAGGTCTACTAAACTGCAGACCTGTAAATAGTTAAAAAACTATTTACAAGGAGAATATGTTATAAACTACACTTAAAAACCCAAATTAAATTTCATTTTAAGCTGTTAAACTACAAGTTAAATTTTCAAAAATAATCTTTAACTAATTGTGATGTCATATTATCTAATCTCTAGTCTAATAAAGTCTATAATTTTCAGCATGTCAAAAAGTTTACCTATCATTTCTGTAATTAAAGGAACTAAGTAACTTGATGACTGCTATTCTGTGCAGTTTGTATACCTTACTTGGATAAAATAATTTAAAAGGCTATTAGCAGATGTATTAGGCACTCAAGGCTTACAGGTTAATTTATCTAAATTCTTATAACACTATGGAGGAGTTAATCCTATTATCCACATTTTACAGATCAATAATTAGCTTAAGTCACATAGCCCACTGAGTGCCCAAGCTGGGATTTAACCCATAGGCCAATTTCAGTCTTCAAACTAGATATGCTTTAGTATATAACAAGTCCATAAAACAAAAACATATGTACAAATGGAATTTTTCTTATTCCATTAGATCCTACTAAAAACCAGTCCTGCAGGAGATGAATTACATTTAAGGAAATATGGCTTCTGGTCACCCCAAGATACACATTCATTAAGGTTATTTTAATAGTTTCCCTTGTTTCTCTAAAATAACACAGATTCTAAAATAATTCCTAGCTTGTAAGAGGCTCTCATCTTACCAAACTTTTCTCTGATTAGCTTAAGTTAGTCTTTAGAATAGCTTTTAAATTTAAAGGGGGCTGGGAAGGTGGCTCAGTAGTAGAGTGCTTGCCTTGCATGCATGAGGCCCTGGGTTTGATCCTCAGCACCACATAAGCAAAAAGAAAAAAGCCTAAAGTGGCGCTGTGATTCAAGTGGTAGAGCACTTGCCTTGAGCTGAAGAGCTGAGGGACAGCGCCCAGGCCCAGAGTTCAGGCCCCAGGACCGGAACCCCCCCCCCCCACCCGCAAAAAAAAAAAATTTGATTTTGGTGCTACTAGTGATTTTTGGTGTTTTAACTCCAAGAGTTGAGTTACTACATCTATTAAACTGTGACATGACAATATTTATCTACTTTGATGTTGTTTTGTGCCAGTCCTAGGTTTGAACTCAGGAACTGGGCACTATGCTTGAACTTTTGTGCTCAAGGCTAGTATGAGCCACAGCCCTATTTCTGGTTTTTTGGTAGTTTACTGAAAATAAAAGTGTTTCATAGACTTTCCTGCCTGGGCTGGCTTTGAACCTCAATCCTCAGATCTTAGCTAGGAACATAGGTATAAGCTACCATCAGATGCTTGGCTCCTACTTATAATTATATACAAGGTACCAATTTTTTTTCATGTTATTTTTCTTAAGCCTACAACTCCTGAGGCAAACATCCTTAATTCCTATCACTCCTCTGAGAAGAAACCAAGACTCTGCGAGGAAAACTACTCTGTCCTTAGTGCTGCTGCACAAGAGTGGCATAGGCAGGAATTGGATTCAAGCTAAGTCTACCTCTAAACTCACATTTGGAGCTTCCCTTGACAAGCTCTGAGGTACCTTAAGAAATGGTCTATAAAATAAATCTTAACAATTAGAATTCCATTGTATAAAAGTATTATGTAACCATAAGCAATTCAAAATTATTTTAAACATTCAAGGAATACAGAATGTATAACCCCATTATCTACAAATATTTTCAGGTAATATAAAGATTTTCCATTTTATTGCCAACATAGAACTAATTCATAATAGTTCTTCAATGCTTTTAAAATTAAATGAGCTTCAGATTACAAACCCAAGACATAAGAATAAATACCTGTAACATTATTCTGGAATATTCATAAAGACCAAAAAAGCATTTTAACTAAACATGTAATAATAAGCAGTAAAATATAAAAACAAAACAGCAGCAGTAACAGTGGCAGGAAAAAACAAAATCCTATTTGGACAGGCCCTGAAACTCTGTAGGACAGGATCATCAGCTCCTCTCTCTCTCTCAGTCTCCACAGCTATAAATTAAATGTTAATATGACATACTCTCAGACTCCGCTACTAAAACAAAAACAGCAGCCAGCTACTGTCAGTTTGGTTTTGATGACAAGTAATAATAATGCAGTTAAACAATCTATAACTTATATAGAGTCTCACTAAAAGCTTACCACTCTAAGTACAAGTCACATGTGAAAGTTATATAATTGTAATTTATATAATTATATGATTATATAACTAATTATATAATTATATAGTTACTTTTACTAAATAAATTTTATTCATATAGGTTAAGCACTGAATATAAAACACTAGTTTACATAGATCAAAACTTCAACAACTGATAGTCTAAATGAGGAATCTCAATCTTGTTACTTCTTAAAATGACTTAATATTTTCACTTAGCCACAAATCTAATTCTTCTGAAAGTTAGTTAGAAGGCTTTCTATAATCCCTTATAATTACTGTAACTTACATAACCTGGCATTTCTAAAAAAATCCCTTGAGTATTTAATATGAATCAAAATACCAATGAAAACTAAGAATGACACGATCAAACATAACTATTTAATAAAGCAATTTTAGTATCTACCTGTGTCAGTTACAACAAGGGCAGACCTGCATGTTTTCATTTTTTTTAACTTTTCCCTTCCTGGAAATATGCCACTACTTTGTCTTTGTAGGGTATTGACAAACTCAGTCAATTCACACTTCCATGTAGATATGTGATGCAGTCTTGAATGAGAATAGAAATCTGAAATAAAATTGCAGTCTGAAGGCTTGGATGGCACTGAAGGTGCTGCCTTGCTATAAGTAGGTACTAAAGAAGTGCTTTTTGTGCTTGAAGGCCCCTGAACAGTAGAATGGTGAGCACCGTTGATTTTAGTGTTACTGTGCAAAGGTGGTAAGAGAGAATTAGTTCTGTGTGGACTCCGTAAAACATCTGTATTTCTGGTGCTTTGTTGCAACTGCTGCAGCATGCAGTCTCTGAAGTCAGTGTCACTATTCTCAGCCCTCTGCTCCTCCTGGGCAGAGTCTGGAGAAAGCCTGCTGGCAACACTGTTGCCCACGGGCATCAAGCAATCCTGTGTCTTTAAGGCACCATTAGAACTATGAGTGTGTCCATTAAAAATTGCAGTACTGCCTCTGGAATGTGAAATTCCATTTTGCTTCCTTCCTGGAAGTGTCTGTTCCAGATCCACAAAACCAAAATCATTTGCATCTTCTTCATTCCAACTGTTTATTCCATTGACTTTGATTTCATTTTCAGTCTCAATCTTCTTAATTATGTGATTTCTAAATTTAAAAAAAAATTGAAGTTAATAATGTCTGAACTGAACAGTTAAAACCATAAACTTTACATTATTTTTGTTGGCCAAACCTAAGTATTAAAGGTCTCCAAGTACTTTTCCCACAAAAAATTAATTAGAACATATAAACTATACAAATATCTAGTTCAAAACCAGGATGTTTATGAGTACTTATTTTCTACACTTACTAAATACCTGCTAAATAAATATAAGTAACTTTGAAAAGCTATATAAACCTCTACATGAATACTTATTCCTGGTTTCACAAATGTTTTTATGTAAGCCACTGTCTACCACATTAAATCCAAAACTACAAAGTTCTGAGGCCAATAAATCTTAGCCAAAAATTATATTTACTCCGTAACAAGGTTAACTACTATACTGGTAAATAGGAATCAATTATGTGTGTACATGGAGGGGTAATATGGTTAAAAATTTACAACAGAAAAATGAAGATATTCACCTTATTGAAAAAAATTATTTTTAAGAAAAGCATATTTAGAGCAATATTTAGATGCCAGACAGTCTGGAGCGGGTTTCCTGATGAAAGGACCTATAAAAATATACTAACCTCATATCCTGTTTCTTCCATATGTTTTCTTAGTAACTAAAAAATAAAATTCATTTCTACTCATAAAACTCACTTATGTAACAAAAACAAAAATCTGCATTATATTGGTAATTCATTCCATTAAGAGAGGTGCATAATATTAACCAATGACAGTTCAAGCACCAGATGAAAAAGTGCCATACACAACACGAAAGCACAGGAGATTACCAGTATTACCTGGTTTTGTCTAAAATTCTTATCCCAATTCTTGCTTATCCCAACTCTAGCTATCAGAATGACAGTCTGACTATAAAAGAAAAATCATATAAGTAAAGTACAAAATATTGCTACCAACTTCTGGATTGTTTTGGGTTCTGGCTAACCATGTCATGAAATAATTTAGACAAGACAATTCTGACCAGAACCAACCCAGACAGATCTTCATGCCAGTAAAAAAGAAAAAGAGAAGGTAAACTAGAAATGATTCAAGGAAGGAAAAACAATCTGCTTGGTTAACATGGCAGAGAAATCCTGCCCCTTAAGAAAAGGGAAAGCAAAAGAGCAACTTTCAAAGAAATTTGTAAAATGGATTGACTATAACAGTCCTTCAAACCACAACAAAAAAAAGTGGTCAATCAAACATCTAGTTTTGTGTGTCAAAAATATTAAGCAATCTAGCTGGGTGCCAGTGGCTCACGCTTGTAATCCTAGCTACTCAGGAGGCTGAGATCTGAGGATCACGGTTCAAAGTCAGCCCGGGAAAGAAAGCCCTTGAGGTACAATAAACCACTCAGAAAAACAGGAAGTGGTGCTGTGGCTCAAGTGGTAGAGTGCTCGCCTTAAGCTGAAGAGCTGAGGGACAGCACACAGGCCCAGAGTTCAAGCCCCATAACCGACCAAAAAAATAATAATAATAATTAAGGATTCTATGCAACAGAAACATGAACTGGCAAGAAAACTTGTGTCACATTTATGTCTAATACTGATGTTATATACATTATCTCTGCACCTTTTTCCCAGACCAGAAAATTAACAATTACAAAAATTCTGGACTAGAAATATATGTTTATAAATCAAGAGAGTGTACTTATATGCTTATATTAAGAAGTAAAATCTATTAAGATAATTCTATCTAAAATTACGAACAGAGAATTTGAAAATGCACTTATGTATTTTGTACTTTTATTATTGTATGTTTAAAAAGATTTTGCATTCTTTGGAAAGATTTTATGTTGCTTTTTATGCTCTTTGTGACAGTATTTTAACAATGAAAACTTTTAAGCATAAGTACTAATTAAAAAATAAGTAAAAACAACAAAATTATAGAAGGTAGTGATTTTGAGTCCTCTCAGGTCAATTAAGACTCCTGAATTTTTTTTGAAAAAGTATTATCAACTCCCAATGCAAGCAATTTAATAAAAACTGATAAAGTTAATGACAATGAACTAACTACTTGATATACAAGATAATATAGCAATTATCTGTGAAACCAATTTACCCAGGAATATTGTCATTAAAGCTGAAACCAATATATAGATTTTTAAATTACTCATATGTAAGAATCTAGATTTTATTCCCAATTCTGTAACTAATATCACCAACTAAATTTCCACTGGTATAAAATATTTAAATTCAGAATTATGAATTTTGAAGTTGTCTAAGCATGGAACACAAGACTATAGCTGGTACTCAGTTTTTGAAAAAACATGAAAAATTTTACTAACAATTTAAGACCAATTAGAATCTAAAGAATATTTTACTCATAAGGCTTTAATTACATAAACAGATAATTAGAATGAAGACATCCACATATACATTTCAACATGTCTACTATAAGCGAACAGCTGATTTTTATTATTGTTTCTATTTCCAACAAAAGTGGACTGCTAAACCATCAGTTTTGTCATCCTCAAAGTAGACAAACTTACACCCTGTTGTTGAGCTGTTTGGCTATATTACTTGGACCTGGCATGGGATCCTCAGGTTTGCATACAGGATTAAAGTTGAGACCTTTTTGTGCACTGGACTGCTTGGTGTACAGCTGATAGGGAATGTAGGACAGGAGTCGTCCAGCTTTGATGCTGAAACAACAAAACACACTGATTTAAAATTCTACACTTGGGTGAAAATGAATTTTTAAAAAATTAAGGTTCTTAGAAAAATACTTTTTTTTACCATGAATAGGTCATTTGTTTTTCTAGTTTATTTATTCTGTTTTGGTGATCCTAATACACTATGACCTTACATAACCATTAAAAAAAGTTACGCAATTTCATACATGAAAAGAAATAAGACCTGGAATTTTTTAAACTAACAAAACCAAGACCATAAAACAGAATGAGATAAACATCAAGCATTAGCTGTATTAGTCTATATTCTAATCTTCATTAATCTTCATGACTACCATTTACTACTACTTTCCCTCTGTTAGAATTATTAAGCCTTAGCCAGGCATCAGTGGCTCATACCTGTAATCCTAGCTACTCAGGAGGCTTAGATCTGAAGATCATGGTTCAAAGCCAGCCCAGAAAGGAAAGTCTGTGAGACTCTTATCTCCAATAAACTATTCAAAAACTGGAAGTGGCGCTGTGGCTCAAGAGGTAGAGTGCTTGCCTTAAGCTGAAAAGCACAGGGACAGCACCAGGCCCAGAGCTCAAGTCCCACAATTGATGAAAAAAAAAAAAAAAAAAAGAATTAAGACTTTCTCAAATTCCATCTCAAATATTAAGTAAACAATAAGGATTCTCCATTTCCATGATTCATGTTAGGTATACAACTTTGAAAAACTAAAAAATACAGGACAAAGACTCTCAATTTTAAATACAATGAATAACTGCAATACTTATATCAAGATTGTTAGAGACAAGAGATTTGAAGGCATGGACTCTATACACCTGACTCCAAATGGTTACTACATATCAAACACTGCTACTAAAATCAACGATAACCCCAATGATGTAATACCAGATGGTAGTGTCATTCCTTTTGTACTTCAACTAAAATGAATTTGATGAAGCTCTCTCAAAGTGATTTTTGCTGGCTGATAAACTGAGTTATATGGCTATAGATCTTTAAAAATACCACTTTTACTACAAAATTTAAAATGACCAGCTAATATACTTATTCAAACAAGCAGGTAAATAGATGAGTTTTTTAAATATTAGGAAAACTTGAGGTTTGTGGAGTTTTTTGTTTTGGGCAGTGTTGAAGTATAAATTCAGTCTTAAGCTGTCTAAGAAGGTGCTCTCCCACTCTAGCTATGCCCCTAGCCATTTATGCCTTATTTATTTTTAGAATAGGGTACCACACTATTGCAGAGGGCAAGCCTGGACCACAATCCCTCTATTTATGTTTCTGCACAGCAGGGATGACAGATACTCTATCACCACGCCTGAACTTGCCTGAGCTATAGCACTTAAGCTTCTTTTTTAAACCTAATATACATAGTCATCCCTTAAAATTATTTAGGAAAATAGCTAGTAAACAGCAAAAAAAAGTTTCCTGTCTCAAAGACACAAAATTTTGCCAGGTACTGGTGGCTCACACCTATAATCATAGCTATTCAGAAGGCTGAGATATGAGGATTGTGGTTCAAAGCTGGCCAGGGCTGGAAATTCCTTGAGACACTTATCTCCAATGCATCACAAAAAAATGGGGAAATGGTGCTGTGGCTCAAGTGGTAGAGTGCTAGCCTTGAGCAAAAGGAGGCCAGGGACAGAGCCCAGGCCCAGAGTTCAAGCCCAGGACTGGCAAAAAAATAAAATAAAAATTCCAACATTTACATTTTCATAAATAGCACACCAAGTTAAAAAAAAAAAAAAAAAAAAAACACCTAGGTATTGGTGGCTCACACCTATAGATCCTAGCTACTCAGGAGACTGAGATCTGAGGATCAGGATTCCAAGTCCCTAAGACTCTTATCTCCAATAAACTACTCAGAAAAAGCTGGAAGTAGTGCTGTGACTCAAGTGGTGCAGCACTAGTTTTGATCAAGAGAAGCTCAGGGCCAACACCCAGGCTCTGAGTTCAAGCCCCAGGACTGGCACACACACAAAAAAAGATCAAACTCTATTTTTTTGTTTTTTTCTTTTTTGGTACTCAGGATCAAACCCAGGACGTTGCACTTGCTAGTCAAGCGGACAAGCACTTTGTCACTGAGCTACCTCCCAGCCCAGAAATGACTGCATTTTTAAAGAAAGAAGTACAATTTATAAACTGAGTCAACAATTGTGAATAGAGGAGTTTTCAGGGACTTGAGAGTACAAAGGGCTTTTATGTGACACAAAGTAGGAACAGTGAGACAGTGAAGCAGAAATCTTCAGGCTGGCTGTGATGCTTGTACCAAAGTATAAAATTTCCCACTTTTCTTTCATCTTCCTCATGTTTTCTTCTTACTGCTACTCCAGAAACTGATGTAGACCTTGCTCCCTTGTGGCCATCACTTCTAGTTTATTTTTAATCAGAAACATTAGTTTTCTGTCAGCCAGTCAGAGGAGCTGAAGCAGGGAGAGGGTGATGTAGAGATTTCTCTTTAGAACTTAGCATACCATGTAAAAATGATGAAATATTAAGGCTAAAGTAATAGCTTCCCTTCTCTGTTTACCTCTCATCTTGTAGCTTTCTATTAAGTCAACATTGTTCAATCCTGAGATTCTATGCTGGTAACTTTATCTAATCCAAATTATAGGCACAATGTCAGCTGTTAAAAAAATAAGGGTCAAGTATCTATGTTCTTATTACATTATTGTGAGGATTTAATTTTAACACGTGGACAACTGAGGAACACAAAGAAAATACTTATTAGCCTTCTTTTACAAATGAAGGACCGAATAAAGTTTCTAAATACTGACTGTAGAGATAGAGACACAAGAGCTAATCTGGATATGAGTTGAAAGTCTTTTCCACTACAATGCTACTTCTCACTGTGGCTCTATGTACTGCATAGGACTGAGCAAGAATATTACATCTGTGGAATAGCTCATAGGAAGTGTCAGAATTAGAGAAAGCTAGACTTAAGACAAAAACCTTATACACTGTCTTAGAAACATAATTTTAGTTTGTGTCACAAGCATCCCACTATAAAATCTGTCCATGCTCTCCTATATTGATTACACTCTATGCTTTGTATTACATTAATATTCTTTTATCTCTGACAAATCAAGTAATCTGTCATATATGCTATATGTATCACTTCAAACTATGAGTCACTTAATTTTGGCTCATTACCAAGGTTTCAAATTATTATTATTTCTTGTCATCCAAGGGGCTTGGGCTTGAACTCTGTGTCTGAGCACTGTCCCTGAGCTCTCAGCTCAAGGTTAGAGCTGTACCACTTGGAGCCAAAGCACCATTTCCAGTTTTCTGGTGGGTAACTGGAGGTTAGAGTCTCATAGACTTTCCTGCCCAGGCTGGCTTTAAACCATGATCCTAAGATCTCAGCCTCCTGAGTAGCTAGGATTACAGGCATGAGCCACCAGCGCCCCATCAAGGTTCCAAATTCTATATAGTAAATTTACAAAGTCAAAATAAATGACCACTATCAATTTACATTTTATCATTTGTAAACCAACAACCAAGAAAACACAATGTGATTGGCAATGACTACTAATTAGCTGGGCACAGTAATTTATATATATAATAGCCACTTGGGAGGCTAAGGAGAATCACTGCTCAGGACCAGACTTCTCAAGAAAAAAAGTTTTCAAGGGCTGGGAAGGTGGCTCAAGAAAAAAGCCGGAAGTGGCGCTGTGGCTCAAGTGGTAGAGCACTATCCTTGAGCTGAAGAGCTGAGGGACAGTGCCCAGGCCCAGAGTTCAAGCCCCACGACCAGACCCAAAAACAAAACAAAACAAAAAGTTTTCAAGACTCCCTCTCAACAAATAGAAAAGATCTCCACAGATCTGTTATCCCAGCTACATGGAAATACAGGAGTATCAAGGTCCAGGCTATCCTGGGGGGGGGGGGGGGGGGGGGGGAGGAATGCTACCCTATTTGAAAAATAGCGAAAGCATAAAAGGGCAGGATGTGCAGTAGAAAACTTCTCTAATAAGCAGAAGCCATTAGGTTAAAATTTGCAAAAAACAGGGGCTGGGAAGGTGGCTCAGTGGTAGAGCGCTTGCCTCGCATGCGTGAGGCCCTGGGTTCGATTCCTCAACACCACATAAGCAAAAAGAAAAAAGCCAGAAGTGGCGCTGTGGCTCAAGTGGTAGAGCGCTAGCCTTGAGCTAAAGAGCTGAGGGACAGTTCCCAGGCCCAGAGTTCAGGCCCCACGACCGGACTCAAAAAAAAAAAAAAAAATTGCAAAAACATAAACTGATAGAAATTGGTACAGTTTTACATGCTAGTAATCCTTGTACTAAGGATACAGAAGCAAGTAGATCGCAACCACTGTGTAGCTTTAGCTACACAGCAAGATCTTATCTCTAAAGAAACGACTGATTTTGCCAGTCACTGGTGGCTCATGCCTAATAAGCCTAGCTACTCAGGAAGCTGAGATGTGAGTGTCACAGTTTGAAGCCAGACCGAGCAAGAAAGTCCACAGGACTTTCTCCAGTTAACTATCAAACAAACCTGAAGTGAAGCTGTGACTCAAGCGGCAGAGTGCTAGTCTTGAGCAAAAAAGCTCAAGGACAGTGCCTAAACCTTGAGTCCAAGCTCCAGGTCCAACCCCACAAAAATAAAAGTAGCTAATTAAAAAAAAAAGAAATTGGGGTATAAGAAGTAGACCTTTTTTCTAGCATGCACAGCTCACTGGGTTCAATCCCTAGCATAAAGACTAGCAACAGCAACAACAAATACAACAAAAAAGTTAACAGGCTGGGAATGAGGCTTAGCGGTAGAGTGGTTGCCTAGCATGCATGAAGCCCTGGGTTTGATTCCTCAGCACTATATAAACGGACAAAGCCAGAAGTGGTACTGTGGCTCAAGTGGTAGAGTGTAGGCCTTGAGCAAAAGAAGCTTAAGGACAGTGCCCAGGCCCTGAGTTCAAGCCCCAAAACAAGAAAAAAAAAAAAAAAGTTAATAATGCAAACCACTCTCCCTTTTTGCCCTACTGCCAGAAATTCATGTTTGTATTATCTTGTGTATTTTCATGCTATGATTTAAAGAAAAAAATACATATTGTACATAATATGTAATAAAAAAATGAGATGATTGAGTGCCAGTGACTTACACCTATAATCCTAGCAACTCAGCAAAATGAGATTTTAGGATTCAAGTTTAAATCCAGTCCACTTGGAAAAGTCTATGAGATTTCATTCCCTTTTCTGTGTGTCAGCTGTGGGGCTTGAAGACATGACCTGAGTACTGTCGCTGAGCTTTTTTGCTCAAGGTTAGCTCAACCACTTTTGAGTCACAGCTTCACTTGAAGCTTTTGGATGGTTAATTGGAGATGAGTCTCACACGCTTTCCTGCCTGGGCTGGCTTTGAACTGGGATCCTCCAATTTCAATATCCTGAGTAACTAGAACTACAGGTATGAGCCACCAGGACCTGGCTATGAGACTCCATTTTTAAAACAACCAGCAAAAAAAGTAGGCCAGAGATGTGGCTCATGTGGTTGAGTGCCAGTGAGCAAGCCAGATGAGGAACTGGCCAAAGTCCTGAATTCAAACCCCTATATGAGTAACAAGCAAAAAATCCTGAGATATTGTTTACTCATATTTAGTTATTGCCTGTCTCTCCAACAAGGTAAGCTCCACAGGTATTGAAGGGTCTTTTGTTTTGTTCAATGGTATTTCTTAAGTACACACAGAATGCAACTCCTAACAGGTTTATAAACATTTGTTGCAGTTACATGCTTGGTAATCGGCTTCCTATACTGATTCCGGCTATTTGCTTCAGTCATTTTCCTTACTACTTGGCAGTGTGTATTATGCTATTGTTTGGATCTGGAATGTTCCCCAAAAGTCCCTTGTGTTAAAGGCTTGATCATCAGCTTGGTGTTACTGGAAATGTTGGACCTTTAAGGAAATAGGGCCTCTTTTGAAAGACAAAAACCATCTGTGCACTGGTGGCCTACCCCTATAATCCTAGCTACTCAGGAGGCTATAGAGAAGATTATGGTTCAAAGGCAGTTTGGGCACAAAGTCCACAAGACTCCATCTCCAAGTAACCAGCAAAATGCTAATTGGAGAACTAGTTTCGGTGGTAGAGTGCCAGCCAAAAGCATGGAAGTTGAGAAAGAGTAAAAGGTTCTGAGTTCAAGCCCAAGTCCTAGCAAAAAAAACAAAACAAAACAAAATCCTGCATGCATATTCCAATTTTCAAGGATTTTATTAACTTAATCTAAACTTACCTTTCCACAATCCATTCTGGTCGAATTACTTTCTCCCCCTTCAATTCTTTGATTTTGGCATTAGGAAGATTTGTGGCAATAATGTGAGTTGTTTTGGATCTGGAGTAATACACATGATATTGACCTCCATGCAACATCATTAACTTTCTCAATTCCTCAGCAGAAGGATCTGTGAAACCAATATTAAAGTAAGGTTTTACATACAAGGAAGCAGATTATTAAATGGTTAATCCCTAAATCCCTTAAGGCCAATTTAACAACCACCACTGGATCACTTTCTCCTTGGCTACATTGCCATAGAACAAGCTGGGAGGCAAATCCAAGTGTTGAAGTAATGTGTCCTTTTTCCCCAGCTGCCAGAGACAGCAGAAGAAACAAGTCTTCAAAATAACCAGTTGGTATATGGTAGCTCATGCCTATATTCAAGTACTTAGGCTGAGATCTGAGGATTGAGGTTCAAAGAAAGCTAGGGCAGACAAATCCTTTCCTCAAGACTTATCTCCAATTAACAAACATAAAAGCTGGAACTGGAATTATTGGTGCAAGTGGTAAAGGGCCAGCCATGGCTAAAAACACTAGTAAGAACCAGAAGACCTAAATTTAAGACCCAGGCACAAAAAAATAAAATGAATCAGCTGGACACTGGTGGTTTATGCCTGTAATTCTAGCTCCTCAGGAAGCTGAGATCTGAGGATTAAGGTTTGAAGAAGTAGAGCAGTAGTGGCTCAAAGGGTAGAGTGCTAACATTGAGCACAAGAACTGAAGGGCAACACCCAGGCCTAAAGTTAAAGCCCCACGACCTGCAAAAAAAAATAAAAAAGAGCTTGATAAAAGTACTATTACCTTAACTCATTTAACTGAACCCCCTCTGTACAATATTTTTTCAATAAAAGACATAAAAAAAGATTAAAAAGTACAATATTGTATATTATATATACATTTACAGTATTGTGAATATATATAGTATTATACTTAAGTATACACATGTAGTATTATATGTACGTACAGTATCATGCTTAATGATATGTGTGTACGTTTAATAGAAACATAAGGTAGTATAAAATTAAAAAAAGAAAAATTTTACCACATATAGCTTATTTAAAAAAAAAAGAAAAGCAATAATGTGTATGCAGTTTCCAAACAATTTAATCCACTAACTTCTTCAAGATAATATAAGGTAGCTCATAGCTAATAATCCTAGTTTCTCAGGAGGCTCAGATCTAAGAATCACTGTTCAAAGCCAGCCCAGGCAAGAAAGTCTGTGAGATTCCTATCCCCAGTTTAGCCATCAAAAAAGCCAGAAGTGAAACTGTGGCTCAAGTAGTAGAGCAGAGCACTAGCCTTGAGCACAAAAGCTCATGGGTAACACCCAAATCCTGAGTTGAAGTTCCAAGCATGGTACCAAAACAAAACAATAAGCGATTATTCAACCTTATAAGTAAACTTAGTAGTAGACTCTGTTCTTAATAATTAAGCTTAATTTCAATTTTTTTTGGGGGGGGTCCAGTCGTGGGGCCTGAACTCTGGGCCTGGGCGCTGTCCCTCAGCTCTTCAGCTCAAGGATAGCGCTCTACCACTTGAGCCACAGCACCACTTCCGGCTTTTTTCTTTTTGCTTATGTGGTGCTGAGGAATCCAGGGCCTCAGGCATGCAAGGCAAGCACTCTACCACTGAGCCACCTTCCCAGCCCCCCTTAATTTCAATTTTTATTTAAGAAAATATTTAGGAAATTCATCAAATAGTTTGTAAGGATGACAGTATAAAATTATATCAGTATAAAATTATATCAAGGGCAAAAAAGTACAAAATAAATTAGACTAAAAAACACTTCTTTTCTAGTTTGTTTCATATTCTAAATAAAACTACAGGTACAATCTTAAACTTGTGAAAGTTTTTTTAAAAAATCAACATGCTTTCTACTTTCCATGAACAAAATGTGATCCACTGAAGTTATGTTATGACCTTCATTTTTAGGATCACATTAAACCAATTATTTTTCAAACACTTTCATGCTTTTGTTACCTTTCATCCTAATGAGTGCTCTAAATCATACCTCCCCCCTCAACAATCGTACTCAGGAGAGAAAGCCTCCACAGGAGCCTTATTTGTACATTATTATTCAACAATAGATTTTCTTCAAGCCCAAGCAATATAGGTCTAAGGGTTTAAATAAATATTTTTTAGTAAGACTACTAATCACGTTGGTTTTACTCTTTAGTAGAAACCCCTTGTGCCACCTATAGGAAGTTTGTCTAATTCTTGGTTTTTTTGTTTTTTTTTTTGGCCAGTCCTGGGGCTTGAACTCAGGGCCTGGGCACTGCCCCTGAGCTTCTTTTGTTCAAGGCTAGCACTCTACCACTTGAGCCACAGCACCACTTCTGGCTTTGTCTGTTTATATGGAGGCTTCATGCATGTTAGGCAAGCATTCTTACCACTAAGCCACATTCTCAGCCCTTGGTAAATCTTATAGTATAGAATTCATTTAACATTATTGATTACAAAAACTAGAGCTATGCAAAAGAAATATGTGCATCACAACATAAGCCACATGCTTAATTTAAATTTTTCTGGTAGCCTCATTAAAAACATTAGAAAGGTAAAATTAATTTTGTAAAATTTTATTGAACTCAATTTGAAATGGAACTGATAAAAATATAACCAAAATTCAGTGTGAATTTTGTAGTTAAAATTGAGACTACCCCCATTTGCAGTGCTTTAAACACTGAGTTAACATTAAGCTATCAGTAAACACTAAATTGGAAACTGAAACAAAATAAATTGAAAATATAACAGTTTTGAATAAAATACATTCAAAGCTCATAATGAAAGGATTTTAGAGGTTAAAGATCACAAAAACTAAACTATAGTATCACAAGGATTTAATGTAAAATAGTGGATACTAAATAGCTAGACAAGCAGGAATCTAGTTTTTTCCTCACAATTAAGGAACATGGCTGATCTCACAAAAATGAGCCAGGAATAATAGCATACACCTCTAATTCCAGCAGTAGGATCACAGTGGAAGGCTAGTCTGTGCTACATAGTAAGATCCTGTCTCAAAAACAAAAATCAAAACACAATAATAAAAATTACTGAAGACTAGATAATACATGAACAGAAATACCAAATCCAATAGAGAACAAAAAATCTAAAAAACAACTTATAAAGTCAATCTATAATTATCCTGAACTAATTCTATTTAATAATTACAATCAAACATAAATAATTGTCCTCTAATTATTAAAATGTGTCAGGAATACATTAACTTTGCATATGTTCATAAAGTACTTGTCTATCACCTACTACTCTTTGAAATCTAAGTCTTAAATCCATCTTAGAAATTTGGAACTGGAAAGCCTAGAAAGTTCATTGTCCTTTTCACTAGATGAAGAGAATTAATTCAAGTTTTAATGTTCTTGCAAATTCTTCAGCGTGAAGTGGACCAAGAACACCAATTTAGTTAAAGTTCACATAAACTAATGTATTAGACAGATTGTCTGATTATGGTCATTACTTAATTCATTTAGGCTCCTCTTTCTTCAATAAGTAAAGCTGTAGCAATAAAATAAGTCTGGCACATAGGAAGCACTTGATATGAAAACTGCTATTACTACAAATTAGAATATTGAATTCTTCTCAAATAATGTGTATGACATGATGTTCCTGCTCTGCATCGTAAGAAAAACAAACAGGGCCTGGAAGTTGGCTCAGTGGTAGAGCGCTTGCCTTGCATGCCTGAGGCCCTGGGTTTGATTCCTCAGTACCACATAAGCAGAAAAAAAAATTCAGAAGTGGCGCTATGGCTCAAGTGGTAGAGCACTAGCCTTGAGCTGAAGAGCTGAGGGACAGCGCCCAGGCCCAGAGTTCAGGTCCCAGGACCAGACCAAAAAACAACACACACAAAAAAATGAAAAACAAGCATAGAATGTTACTTGGTAGCTCTGACTTCCAAATAAAACCAGAACTGTTAATAGTATGCTGTAGATCACAGCCAGGAATCACTTTTATCCACTAAAAAGCCTGGTATGTATAGTAGTTGTCAACTACCTTTATTTTGATTTCTAAAACATTTTCAAATAGTATATATTTCTCTCTAGTCTATTTCTTTAGTAGTAAAGCATACATGGATATTTTTTATTTTTTGATGTTAGCTGCAGTTTTATAAGGTTAAAAGAATATAAATAACTGTACGTTTGTATTTTTTTTTTTACATTCAATACCCTCAAAAGATGTCTGGAAGACAGGTTCCAAAACCATGAAATCTATGTAACATTAAGCACTATGTGATACACTGTCTTGTCATAGGACCCCATCCTACAATCTACTACACATTTCTTCCTAGTATTGAAAAGCTGAAATTATTTTCTCTGTTTACTTGTTTATTGTCAAATTCCCCTGAACATATGTTCCTCCAGGGAGCATATGCTTACCTTATATGTTCCTCACACAAAGCAGCTTAGTAAATAGTTATTGAATTCATTAATATCTCAGTGTATCAAAGGCTCTTACCTGAAGTTTACCCACCTAAAAAAAGTACAAGGAGTAACAATACTTTCTCAAAAGACTTGTTCATTCACAAATTAGATATTCTTAAGTCAAATTAGTAGGGGATAGATACAAGGCAAAACTGACTAGTTTCAAATCCTAGCTGTCAACTTGTTAACTGTATGAACCTCAGGTAAGTTGCTTAATTTCTCAGTGTCATATTCTGCATAAGTAAACCAGAGGTTAACATATGTGACTCAAAAGGACTGCTATGGGGATTAAATAAGCCTAAAATTACAAATAACTAAGGAAAGTAAGTACCTTGTGCAGATAGTAAGATTATGTCACCTATTAAGGTATTACAATGTTATCAGTAGTATTATTACCATCTTATCCCCCAGCAGGAAGGAACAAAGAGCATCAGGGCTGATGCTACTCTCAACTCAAATTATAAATTTTTTAAATCTCTAGTCTCTCCTACAAATATGATGATGGGATGCCCATCCCTCAGTATGTTTTCACTCAATATCCTGATGTAAAAATAACAGAAAATCAAAACAGAATTAGCCTGATGAAGTATCTTCTAAATCCTACAGTCATACCCAAGTGTCAGAGCCTTCAGATATCTTAAGTCATTTCATTTTCCACAGTGGTATACACTAGCCTTATCAATGTAAACCGACT